GAATCCTTATTTAACGGTATAATAAAATATCATCATGTATAAGATTCAGTTTGTGTAAGACATATGATATAGGAAGTTTAAAGAAATAATAAGTCATTCCTGTTATGTGATAACTTGATATCATATTTATCATAGTTATTTATGGAATGTTTGATGTATTTCCTTAATTGTTACATCATTTATTGGATTGTGTGGTTTAATGCACCGGTATGGGACGGTGGCATTCTAGGGATGGATTAACTTATTAGTTAAGTCCTACCTATTTTATATAAGAGAATGGATTAACTAAAATGTTAAGTCCTACTTATATTTAAGTCAGGTCAGTTGAACAAGTTGAATGACTTATAGATGATTAATTTATTATATAAGGGAATGGATTAACTAAAATGTTAAGTCCTACTTATATTCAAGTCAGGTCAGCTGAACAAGTTGAATGACTTATGGAGGATTAATTTATACTGGATAGGATGGTTACTAGATTTTATATATATAAGTATGGTGCCATGATATGAGCTTGAGTCTCAGGATCAATGGTTAGGGCGCGTATATCGCCAAGGATGTGTAGCTAGATATAGTGTAGTTGTGTACCCTGGTAGGTCTAGGTACTCATGCCCACTATATGTGCGTTTTGCATGTTGCCTACTATTCAGGTTGAGACAACCCTATAGTCTAGTGAGGTTCCTTTAGTGTGTGTATATATATATACGGACTACTAGTTACTGTTGGATTGACTAGGATGTATACGTGTATCGGATCTCTGCTTGGACTGTAGTAGAGTAGAACTTGTTTGTAGGCTTGACCCACCATTATTTTTCAGGTGTTCGTCACGAGTAGAGGTTGTTCGTGCTGAGCGGAGATCAGTCTATTTCATTCTTCCGATGCTACATATGAGTTCCTTTATGATTCAGTTTCCTGTTTTAGATTACTGTCATTTGTTTAATTTGGATTTTCTAGGGGTCCACGCAGTATGGATTCCCGAATTGTATTTTGGAGGATCAGTTGTATCAGAAGAGTTTATTAATTAATAGAAATATATTATGAGGTTTATTATTAGATTATCATTTTAGTTTCTTGTCAGCATTTTATTTATTCTTCTTTATTCTTTTGTACTCTGTGTTCGTTTATTATCAATTTGTTTTGATATTCTCGGGTATTCGGGCGTAGGCCTGGCCAACCCGCATTCGAAAATCCGGGGGTATCTCAGTTTGATGCAGTAAGATTCAAAATAAAATTAAAACAGTGGCCCGTTTTATGCCAAAACAGAAACGATACAAATTATACATGTCAGAATGATTTCAAATTTAAATTTCACCAATAACAGATAATTAAGTATAACATATAATGGTCATGCATAGTTTAATTAATATCCAATTAACCTCCTAGAGGCTATCTAGGTGCACAGAACACAAGCCAATAGGAAGGAGAAAAAAAAGAACTTGCCTTTGAGTTTCAGATTTGAAACTCTAATTCCACAGTTTCTGTATGATACGTTTGTGTTCTAAACTGCAAATCTACTCCTCCAGTGCTTTGGTTCAAACCCAGAAACAACCCCGTGCCTTCCTCTTTGAACTGCTTTATTAATCACCTAAGGTTACTCTGTGTTTCTCTCCAATCCTTCTCTCTGTTTCTCTCTGCCTCTTACTCCGAGAACAAGGTTTTGTTTTCAACCCTAGGCAGAACGTATACATGCATATATATAAACTTATAAACCCTCAACCCTAATTCCAATTCTAATCTAAGAATGAAACTGATTAAATCATAAGTCGGCTACACCTTGAAACCTAAAATCCTAAGGCACGCTAAAGAAAATAAATACACAATGAATTAATTAAATAAATCAATTAAATAAGTACGGTAATTAAAACAGGTAATTAATCCAAGTTACACATTATTTGGCACTTAATGTAATTTAAATAATTAATTAAATCCAATAATTCAATTAAATAAAAAAGAATACAATTAAATCAAATAAGCCAATTAATTCAAATAATTAATTAAATCCAATTAAAACAATTAACTTAGTCAATTATGTCAAGTAAGTAATTAAATCAAATAACAAACCAATTAATTAAAATTAAAAAAAAATGTAATTAAATACTCAATTAAATACCAGAAATATCCTTTTAAAATTAGGGGTATTACAAGTCCTTAGCTGGCTCCGCCCCTATATATGATAATCGACCGACAGTTAGTGTGTCGGTTGTTGACTTTTCGTGCGATAGCTGTGCTACTAAAAAAATATAGCACATTTGATATCACCCGGTCAATTGTTGACAATTGACTAGTGACAACCGTGCTAGTCGACAACCAACACTTTGTCAATTATTGACTCTCGACAATTGTAACATGATTGATGTCACTCATTTGGTTGTTAACAACAATTATAACACGACTGATGTCACTCAGTTGGTTGTTAACTCTAACAATTATAACACGATTTATGCCATTATGACGATTGCCTACTCTAAGCAATTGTAGCACGATTCTTATTTGAATGTCACAATCAATCGATTGTCTAACTCTCAACAAATTTAGAGTTTCATTCACATAAATATATCCATTGATTATTTTTTGGGTAAATTACACTGACACCCCTTAAGTTTAGGTTAAATTTCACCGAGATGAATATTTTAGTTTTAACTTTCGCGCACTCACATTTAAAAGAATGGTTCCATATTTCACTAACACCCCAAATGTCAATTTTCAGTTGTGTCATAGTACTTTTTGGTGTAGAAGGACTATACTACCCTTTTGACTTTTTATTGACTTTATTTCATATATAAAATGACTTAAATACCCTGAACACCTATTTTAAATTACCAAAATATCCTAAACTTTTAACCCTCTTTTCTTCTCTCACTATATGTGTGTGTATGTGTGTGTGTATTTATATATAGCACTTAGTGAATCAGTGGTGCCGCTGCCTTTGGCATTTACTCCTCAGTCGACCAATCCACGCTTGACATAATTTCCATGGTGGTGATGGAGGCTATGGGTGGTTTTGGGTGGTGGCGACGGGTGGTTTTGGGTGATGGGTGGTAGTGATGGAAGTGTTGGGTGGGGCGATGGCGATGGGTAGTTTTAGGAGATAGGTGGTGGTGATAGAGGTGGCGATGGGTGGTTTTGGCTGATGATAAGGGGGAGTGATGGGGGTGGGGGTGATTTTGGGTGTGGGGGTGGCGATGTGTGGTTTTGGGTCCCAATACCCATTGGCTTTATTAACATAGCAATGTTAAAAGGATTTACCAAATTAAACATCTTATTCTTAACTTGATTCAAAATTACCAAACTAAAGCCTATTCTTTTGCTACTCCTCGCCTCCACCAGATGACCAGAGTGCGCTTTAGATCTATTGATTCAAGGGTAAATTACACTGACCTCCCCTGAGGTTTCGTCAATATACACAGACCTCCCTTCTTGTTTGTCAAATTACACTGACCTCCCCTGTGATTGGATGGCGTTAACTATTGTTGTGTAATTACAATTATATCCTTATACATATTGTATTTTATTTCAAAATTTCAAAGACCAAAATGCCCATATGTATTTTATTAGTACTTTTTAAGTCATGGAAAAAATAAAAAAATTACTTTTCACCTACTATTAAATCTCATTAAATGCTTCTCTCCATCTCCATCTCCATCTCTTCTCACTTCTCCATATCTTGGTACCTGGGATGATTTAGGGTTTCTGGTAGCCTACCATCACGACAAGTAAGTATGTGACTAAATGTTCATGTTTTTTTATCTTCTGCCAATTTCCCTGTATTTATCTTCTACCGAAAATTGTTATTATACAACTATACAATATATATATATATATATATATATATATATATATATATATATATCTTCTGATATTCACTTCTTTTTTCTTTTTCTTTTTTCCCTTTTCTTGTATGGAACAAACCCAATGTCTTAACAATTTTTTTTTTTTTCCTTTTTTAACTCTAGGAATTTGGCTTATAATCAATTTCCTTACCAAAACAAATTAATAGTAAAGTTTTCCAAACAAGACCTAATAAGATTTAACTAAAGACTAAACAACGAGTTGCAGATCCAAAAAGCATGCTTAAGGTATTTAACAAGGAACGACAACAAACAGTAATAATATAATATTAACGTCGGAAGGTATTAGTGTAATTCTATTTGAGTAAGTGGGGATATAGTTGTCAAGAAGGGTAATAAAAAGGGCACTATTGTAACTTTTGATAAAAAAAAATGTTTACCTCATTGTTGACTGGGTTGACCACTAACAGCCATTAACAAAAAAGAACAAAGTGTTACTAAGATACAAATTTCGAGGGAGGTCATCGTAATTTAGCAAACAAGAGGGAAAGTGTGTGTATTTTGACGAAACTTCAGGGAGGGCGGTGTAATTTACCCTTGATTCAATACAAGACGAAAACAAGCAAAATGGTAAAGAGAAAGAAAAAAGGAATTTTCATTGCAAATATTCCATCTTCTGAGCTTGAATACACTTCCCTCACAGTATTACTCCCTTTATACCTTGATTGATACTTTCTTTATTTATTTATTCCCACTATGATTTATATAATCCATTTCTCTACAGAGATAAAGAGAGGAGAGATAAAGTTTATATCTTGATTGATACTTTATCTCTTTATTTATTATCACAATTATGATTTTTATATAATCCTTTGTATATAGATAAATAGAGAGAGGAGAGAGAAAGAAAGACACTAATTAGGGGTATTTTTATCATTTAAATTTAGAAATATTTTGTATTATATTGTGTTAAAAAAGTGAGGGTAAATTGATCAATTCGCATGTGTAAGGTCCAAAAAATAATTTTAGATTGCAAGTGAAAGTTAAAGCTAAAATGTTCGTCATTTAACCTCCATGTAAGTGTAATTTATCCTTATTTTTATTTGTATTAAATAAAATATTGAAGCTCATGATAGGTACAATAGGAGCACCCTCATTCTAATATTACCCTTAACAAGATTGGCCTATAAAACCATGTGAAATCGTCCACTTCTTGGTCACATGTTATAAACGCAACTTTTCTGGCTCTGGTGAAGTGTGACTACACAGTGATTAGCTATAGTCTTTGAGCTTCCCTTCATCAATGGCTGCTTTAACTACATTAGTCAAGAGAAGATTTGTGCAGAATTTCAACCAGTTGCTTATCAGAGAAAGACTCTTCTCAACCGAGCCCCTTGTTGATTCTCCAGCTTTTGTTCAGAGAATTAGAGATCTCCCCAAAGATCTTCCTGGAACCAACATCAAGAAGGAAGTTTCTCAAGTAAATCCCCTCTCTCTGCACATATATGTGTGTGTGTGTGTGTGTGTGTGTGTACGGTATTTAATATTATATAACCATGAGAATTCAGTTTTATTTTTTTTTTTATTTTTTTTTTCTCTCCTCTGTCCTCTATTCGTTCTCTCTTTTCCTCCTCTTACCGCCCCATCCACAGTCCCTCCTCCCACCACCATCGCCGCCACTAATTCCACCAAACCACGCCCAACAACTGCGGCAGCCACGAAAAAAACCTTCAATTCCAACCAATTCAAACTGTCCAAAAATTTAACATTTTCCAAGCAACCAAACACATCCAATCTAAAATATCTAATGAACCACATAATCCCCAAAATCACAAATCAACCATCACATCCTCCGACCATTTGAATACTGCCAGAGCGGCACCACCTCCGAGAGCGGCTTCGACAGTGGTGTCGGCAGTGGCGAGTTCCGGCGAACCGGACTCGACGCCGTTCAACTTTAACCACGCCTCGAATATGTAAGTCAAGTGATAGTATTGTCTACACTCGCACAAATGGATCGAACACACTGAATCATTACCTCTTCCACCACCACGACGGATCCGTATAGGTTATGTAGAAGTGAGAAATGAGAAGCATTAATTTTTTATTTCTTTTTTTTCGGGAAAAGGTGAGAAGCAATATTAATTGATTTAATAATCCCCAATAATTTACGTTACAGTTCCGTTGATAAATTTTTATCCTACCACTTGACGTTTTTGTTGACTTTCACAGAATGGCAGGCTGTGCCACGTGTACAGGGAATAATTATTTCCTACATTCTAGTGCACTCTGTTACCATGCACCCACCTCTGCACAAAGAAGAAAACCTCCTCCTCAGCAAATGACAATACATGCCATGGATAAATTAACTTGTTCTTGTTTGGAACTAATAATAATTATTATTATTATTTCCCATGTATAGCAAGAATTTTGATTCTAATTTTGGGGGTTGATGTTGGGCTATTGTTTCAGTAAGTCTAAAATTTTAAGTTTTACTTTTATGACTGATCCAATGGTTTCTCAAATTTCAGCTGATTGGAAAAACTCCCCTTGTTTATCTTAACAAAGTCACTGAAGGTTGTGGAGCCTATATTGCTGTCAAACAAGAAATGATGCAACCTACTGCAAGCATCAAAGACAGGTCTTTTTTTAATTTTTCACTCTTAAATATGTGTGTGTGTGTTAATTAGGGCATTTTAATTTGATAAATAAAATCAAATGAAACTTATTTGTTTTAATTATGCTACCAGACCTGCATTGGCAATGATCACAGATGCAGAAAAGAAAAATTTAATCACACCTGGAAAAGTAAGTTAAGCAGCAATTATATTTTTGTCATTGAGATCATATAAGGCTATAACATTGCTAATTCTCAGCTTTCATATATACTAGTCGGTGCTGATTGAGCCAACATCCGGAAATATGGGAATCAGTATGGCATTTATGGCAGCCATGAAAGGGTACAAGATGATTTTGACCATGCCCTCTTATACCAGCTTGGAAAGAAGGGTCACCATGAGAGCATTCGGGGCTGAGCTGATCCTCACCGATCCAACGAAAGGGATGGGAGGAACTGTCAAGAAGGCTTACCAACTTTTGGAATCCACACCAGGTGCTGTCATGCTGCAACAATTTTCAAATCCCGCCAATACTCAGGTAATTAACCAGTCCTGCCTGCCGAATTTGAGTTGACGTACTCTATTCTATTATATGTTTGTCTCGTATTGTTTGGAATTTTGTTACATTACTTGTTAATTCTAAGTTATGTTTAATTATAGTGTACATTAGTTCTATATTTTGTTTAAATTCCGTTAAGTACTTTCAAAATAGGTTCTTTATTGAATTGGCATGTATATGATTTATCTCTACATTGAAAAACAGATTCATTTTGAGACAACTGGTCCCGAGATATGGGAGGATACTCATGGGAAGGTTGACATCTTTGTAATGGGAATAGGAAGTGGGGGAACTGTATCTGGTGTTGGACGATATCTCAAATCCCAAAATCCTGATGTTAAGGTATAATATTTATATGCTCTTTTATTTGTCCATGCTTCAACAGCAATGAACATATATACACACACATACATACAATTATATATGTATGTGTGTGAAATGTTACATTGTCATTTGTAGAAAGAAAGAGTTGATACATTAATTGCTAATGCTATTTGCTTATATTTATTTAGATTTATGGACTTGAGCCTACTGAAAGCAATATACTAAACGGTGGTAAACCAGGTAAAGCATTGTGTTCCATACTAAATCTCATGTTCTTAAAGAGAATAAAATAAGATAGAATTTTATTGTTGTTGGAGTTTTTAAATGATGGCAGTGCTGTATATATCACAGAAGAGATTACAGCATTGCTTTTTGTATTGTTGCGGTCTTCTGTCCCTTGCTAGATCCATTGTTTTGGTTTGTAGGAGAATTTGCGGTTTCTAATACTGCCATGATTCAGGGCCTCACCATATAACCGGTAATGGAGTTGGGTTTAAACCGGACATATTAGACATGGATGTGATGGAAGAAGTTCTTATGGTAAGCATTATTGTTATATTTCGCGCCAATAAGAATCGGAAAAGAAATAACAGTGCATTCTACAAACGTTACGTGACAGGTCTCTAGTGAAGACGCAGTCAATATGGCTAGGGAGTTGGCACTGAAGGAGGGACTTATGGTAATAATATAAATGACACTGTAATTTCTGTTAATTTTTACAATCCCATTAATTGCATGCTTGGAATTTTTAGATTTCTTCAAACATATATGTGGCCATGGAGAAAAAAATAAAATTGCCGTAGTTAGTGTGCATGGTTTTAGAAGATTAGGCAGACTGCGATGAGCCTGAGATGCTAGTTTAGGTGGTGAAGCTCAAAATTCAGGAACAATTATGTCAAGCAATGAAGCCGTGTTTTCTTTAACAGTCCTATTTGATTCTATTGAATGAAGAAAGCCTCCATACAATTTAACTAATATTGAAATTGAGTAAGATAGAGAAGTGAATAAAATTATCTTAATTTGGACCTTCAACTGCTTCATTTTGGGAAAAATATAAATATTGGAAATTTGTTACTCATAATGTTAACTGTGCTATCACCTTCTGGTTCATGTAGGTAGGGATTTCATCAGGTGCAAATACAGTTGCAGCACTTCGTCTTGCCAGAAGGCCGGAGAACAAAGGAAAACTTATTGTGGTATGAATAACTTAGAAACTTCAGTTTTATGCTTATAGAAATAAGTTACATCACTGCCATATTTTATGTTTCTGAATGTGCAGTGTCTGTGTGTGTTTGTGTGTGTGTGTGTGTGAGAGAGAGAGAGAGAGAGAGTGCCTTGAAAATATGAAGATCAAGCTTGTTCAATTTTCATAGATTCCCTTCTATGAATTACAAGTTCTACAATGAAAGTAACAAATACAAATAGGTTTATTTAGTTGGGATTCAATATTTCTTCTACTTCACACATAATTTGTTACAATTACTAATTCTTAGTAAATTTGTTTGCTGGTTTGGATTTCAGACGATTCATCCAAGTTTCGGAGAGCGGTATTTGTCATCAGTCTTGTTTGAAGAGCTAAGGAAAGAGGCTGAAAACATGCAACCAGTTTCTGTTGATTAGTGGCTAATACTACCCAAGATTAGTTCTTCTGTCACATTTGTTGTAATGTGTGTGATTTTGTTAAACTCTTGTAAATTAAAGCAATGTTTGCGAAATAAGTACTAGAATCAAATCAATGTTTAAAGAGAATCACATATATTAGAAGTTACTATTAGTATTAAAAAGAGGAAAATGTTACATTATTATGTGTGGATTGTAAAATGTTATCCAACCTGCAGGCTGCAAAGAATAATGAAAGAACCATCAAACAGATTCAAGCATAAATCAGTCAAGTATTGCTGCCATTAAAGAGGATAAATGCATACAAGATGGAGGCTTGAGTGGGTTAGAAGGTCTGTAATTGGTTTGTAGCACGGTTCAACAAACTGAGTGACATCAACCGTGCTACAATTGTCGAGAGTACGGTTATAGCACGGTTGATGTCCTCAGTACAATTATCGAGAGCACGGTTGATGAGTGGCAGCCGTACTAGTTGATAAACTAATACTGAGTCAGTCACCATCAACCATACTAGTCAACAATTGACCCTCAGTAAGTTGTCAACCCTCAAAAATTATAGTATGGATGATGCACAATTGTAGCATGGTTAATGTCACTTAATCGATTGACAACCGATTGAGCGAAAATTGTACTAGTCGACAATCAACATTCAATCGATTGAGCGACAACCATACTAGTCGACAATCAACATTCAATCGGTTGTTAATTCTTGACAATTGTTGCACAGTTGTTGCCACTCAGTCAGTTGTTGACTTTTAACAATTGTAGCACGGTTCTTATGCGGATCTCAACTCTGACAAGATTAGGGTTTTTCTTTACATAAATAAATCCATTTATTGATTTTATTTATATTAAATCAAACAAAAGTTAGATGACTGTATTGAAAGCTCATGGTAGGAACAGTATGAGTGTCCTCATTCTAGTCTTATCTTTTACAAAATATTGTCTTATAAAATTGTGTAAAAATTTTCATTTCTTGGTCCGATACAAACAACTTTACAGACTCTGGAAAGTGTATGAGTATAGTGATTTCCCTCTTTTTTTTTTTTTTTTTTTTTGAAAGGTAAATCTGCAATATTCTTTGAACCTTTATCAATGGCTGCTTTAACTACTTTCATCGAAAGAAGATCTATGTAATATTGCAATCAGCTGCTTATTAGAGAAAGACTCTGAGGCCCTTGTTGATTCTCCACATTTTGTATAGAAAATTAGACAACTCCCCAAAGATCTTTAAAAAAGATCTCAGTTAAGTATTACTGCCATTAAAGAGGAAAAATGCATACAGGATGGAGGCCTAAGTGGATTAGAAGCTTTGCAAGCGGGTTGTAGCACCGTTCCAACGTCCAAGTGGCATCAACCATGCTACATTTGTCGAGAGCATGGTTGACGTCGCAAGTACAAGTGTCGAGAGCATGTTGTTAATTCCACCGTCTGAGTGACATCAACTGTGCTACATCTATCGAGAGCATGCCGTTAATTTCCACTATCGACGGATCAGTGATGTAAAGTGATATGGGTCGGTCTCGCCGTGGTCTATTGCGGCGCATATAGTTTAGGTATTAAAAGAGAAAGAGAGTGATAAAGAGAAACGGATTTAACCTGCCCAAATAAGCATTACCTATATTTTTATTATTTTTTAATTTTGGACAGATGTCAACAAGAAGGATGGCCACGTCTCATCCTCCCTGTACAGGATGCAAGCATTACTCTTTACATACACGTTTCATCAAGAAGCACATAAATATTTACAAGAGTAACTAGGCACAGAACCACATTGGGCCCGGGGCCAAGTGTACTCCTCGAGGCCAATTCGGCTCCTCAATACTTATACATGAAACTATTTTAGTGTACTGCCCATAGTGCTTAACATGGTTTTCCAATAAATATATATATATATATATATATATATATATATATATAGGGCAATAGATTTTCTGGGAATCAAACCTTGTAGATTTTACAAAAATAAAAGAATTAATATATATAAAAATATATATTTACTTTAGTATTTATAATTTTTAAAATTTTTAAAATGTCCTATAAAATTCTCTCTTACTCTTTTTTTCATTTCTCTTTAACTTTGTTGCTTTTTCAAGTTTCTTTGATCCCTTCAAAAAAATTTGCATTCACTTTCTTCAATCAAACACTATGTTTTTTTTTCTCTTCAAAGTTCTTTCATTTTTTTTTATTTTCTTTTATCTCTGTCTCTCTGTCCCCACCTCTCTCTCTATTCTCGCACTCATATATCATATATGTGCAATAATCGTTTTCTCTATTCTTATTTTTTCTCTTATTCTATAAATTTCACTGCAGATGCAGAAATTAAAAATTTAATCATACCTGGAAAGGTAAGCAAAGCAGCAATTAATTTTTTTTTTTCATTGAGTCATATAAGGCTATAACATTGCTAATTCTCAGCTTTCTCTAATTTTTCCATCGATGATATATATATTAGTCTATGTTAATTGAAGCAACATCTGAAAATATAGGAATCAGTATGGCATTTATGGCAGCCATGAAAGGTACAAGATGATTTTGACCATGCCTTCTTACACTAGCTTGGAAAGAAGGGTAACCATGAGAGCATTATTAGGCTGAACTGATCCTCACTGATCCAACGAAAGAGATGGGAGGAACAATCAAGAAAGCTTAAGAAATTTTGGAATACACACCAGGTGCTATCATGTTGCAACAATTTTCAAATCTCACCAGTACTCAGGTAATTAACCAGTCCTGCCTTGAGAATTTGAGTTGATATACTCTATTCTATTATATTTTGTCTCGTATTTTTTGAACCTCCATCATTGGCTGCTTTAACTACCTTCATAAGAAGAAGATTCGTGCAATATTTCAATTAACTGCTTATTAGAGAGAGACTCTTCCCAACTGAGCCAGTTCTTAATTTTCCATCTTTTTGTATAAAGCATTAGATAACTCCCCGAAAATCTTTAAAAAAATATCTCAGTTAAGTATTTCTGCCATTAAAGTGGATAAATGCATACAGGATAGAAGCCTAATTGGATTAGAAGGTTTGGAAATGGGTTGCAGCACCATTCCACAGTTTGAGTGATATCAATCGTGTTACATCTGCCAAGAGCACAGTTGACGTCCCCAGTACAAGTGTTGAGGGCACTCTGTTAATTTCACCGTCTGAGTGACATCAACCGTGTTACATCTGTGGAGAGCACGGTTGACATTCTCAATACAAGTGTCGAGAGCATGACGTTAATTCCATCGTATGAGTGATATTAACTGTGTTACATATGTCAAGAACACGTTTGACGTACTCAGTACAAGTGTCGATAACATAGTTGATAAGTGACAACCGTGCTAGTCGACAAATCGACTGAGTTGAGTATCATCAGCAGAGACTCAGTCGATTGTTGACTCTCGACAATTATGGCACGATTGATGTCACTCAATCGGTTGTCGCCAACTGACTGAGTGACAACCGTGCGACAATCATGCTAGTTGACAATTAACCCTTAGTTGGTTGTCAATTCTCGATAATTGTAGCACATGCTTCACTTAAATAAATCCATTGATTAGTTTTACTCAGTGTAAAGTGAGAAAAATACTCCTAGTATTTAAAATTTGTGCAAATAACACCCCTAACCTTTATTTTGAGGTATATAAGTTCGTTAAGTTTTGAAAAATTGGCAAATAAAGGCTTTCATATAATTATTCATGTGCATTGCACATGCCTATAATAAGTAACAAAATTCCTAAACCACCCTTTTAGTCTCCCCAAAATGCCCTTGGACCATTTTACATATCATCACCATTTCCCTCACTTTTGGTTAGTACTTTGGTCATTTTACATTTATTTTGTTTTTCACCTTCTTCTTTTTTTCAAATACATAAAGGCACTTTAGTCTTTTAATTGCTCTACTAACAACAAATCCTTGTTTGCACAAAAAATAAAGATTAGGGACTTGAAAGAACCTATAGGGTGGGTGTATACCCTATTTGCATACCATAGGGGTGTTTATCAATCACGACCCTTTTATTTATTGTAAATCAAACAAAAGTTGATTAACTGTATTGAAGCTCGTGATAATCACAATAGGAGTGCCCTCATTCTAGTCTTACCCTTTACTAAATATTTTTTTATTTTATAAAATGGTGTCAAATCTTCTTGGTCAGATACACACAACCTTAAAGTGTACAAGTAGAATGATTCGGTTTTTTTTTTTGAAGGGTAAATTTGCTATATTTCTTGAATCTCCGTCAATGGATGCTTTAACTACCTTCATCAAAATATTGCAATCAGCTTATCAGAGAAAAAATCTTCTCTTTGAGCCCCTTGTTGATTTTCCCATCTTTTGGATAGAGAATTAGAGAACTCCCCAAAGATCTTTAAAAAAAAATCTCAGTTAAGTATTACTGCCATTAAGGAGGATAAATGCATACATGATGGAAGCCTAAGTGGATTAGAAGGTTTGCAAACGATTTGTAGCACCATTCCACTGTTGAGTGACATCAATCGTGCTACATTTGTCGAGAACACGGTTAACATCCACAATACAAGTTTCGAGAACACGGTTGACGTCCTCAGTACAAATGTCAAGAACACGCCATTAATTTCACCGTCTGAGTAACATCAACCATAACGCATTTGATGTCTTTAGTACAAGTGTCGGGAGCATACCGTTAATTACTACAACTATCGAGAGCACTGTTGATGAGTGACAACAGTACTAATTGACGAATCGACACAGTCAATCAACAATACTCTATTAATAACCTTGGCTTGACTGAAGCTTAATTCATCAGTTTGGCTTGGAAGGTCTTCACTAGCCCCTCATGTGCCAAAATGAACCACATGTCAGATGCATGGGTCAACCGAGTTGAGTGTCATCAAACATACCAATCAATAATTGAAACTCAGTCGGTTATCAACTGCAGCGCTTAATGTCACAATTGTAACACAATTTATGTCACTCAATACATAATCGTGCTTGATGATTGTCAATTCTCAACAATTCTAACATAGTTGATATCGACTCTCGACAATATTAGAGTTTTCTTCACATCAATAAATTCATTGATTAATGTTGCTTATATTAAATCAAACAAAAGTTGACTAACTGTATTTAATTCTTTTCTAATTTTGGCTTATTTATTCATTCCTCGGATTTTTTTGGATCTATGAGTTCTTAAGTTCTGCAAATTTATAAAGATATGTAGATATTTGTATATGTATAGTTATGTAGCTAAAGTCGTGAGATCACTGAGAATCATTAATTTTTTATTTTATTTTTCGGCAAAGGTGAGAAGAAATATTAATTAATTTTCACCAATAATTTACATTACCTTCACGTTCATAAATTGTTTATCTGCAAAGTTCACAAGTTGTTTGACCTTTTTGATACATTAACTGATTAACTGTTTGGTTGTCTTCCATGCGTAGAGAGAATCATTATTTTCTACATTCTAGTGCACCCTTGTACCGTGCACCCACCTCTGTATAGGATCTCTTTCCTTCTACTGTTCTACCCCATCCATGCATGATGCATGTCATGATATATATTAAAGTCGCATGTGTCATTTACAGTATCAAAAATAAAATAAATACTCCTCCATTTATAGTATTCCAATCAATAATAAATTGTTATTGTCCAGGTGTATTAATGTTTTTCCATGTTAATAATCCATTTTATTATCATTATTATTATTATTTTGATGTGCTGTCCCAAAATACCAAGATTATAGGGGGTGAGGGAGTATCAAAAAAAAATTAATTCATTTTTATTTTATCCAAGCATTTTTTTTGTTTTTGTTTTTGTTTTAACGTGGCCAATCATATCAATGGTGACATATAATTTATACTTATAGTTCATAATGACATATTGTAACAATAAATTTTAGTAGTCATCTACTCATCTTTGCTTCTGCCCGGAAATATATATATATATATATATATATATATATATATATATATATATAAGTTTATTTATTTGACATAATTTGATAAGCTTTGTCATTGCCACATGAATCATTTTAGTTTTCACAGGATTCTATTTACTGAACTTATTCACAATTTTAGATAGGATTAGCTTGCCCTTAAATGAAAATACCCTCTTGTTAATAAATGAAAAAATGAATCCCAACATAATTTTATTTACGTAGCTAAGATAATAATTAACTTGTTCAGTTGTTTTAACTGGTTTTTTAATAATTTAAGACAAATTATAATTGATTGTGTTTCAATTTTATGAATTTTAGCAACTTTGTTTCCCCATTATAATCTCTCTAAAATGGGAATTTATGTGTTTCTCAAATTTAAGCTGTTTGCCAATAATTAGTAGAATGAAATCAATGTTTGAGGAGATTCACATACATTAGATGAAAAATATTTATGACACTAATTAAATACTAATCTTTTTTTTTCTTTTTTTTTGGGTAACCATGGGACTAATCCAAAAGACTACATGCGTTTCCCTAAATGCTAATCTTATTACAGGTTGATACCATGACAAAGCAACATAAATTTTATTTATATATTAAATAATTTCACGGCATCTAGCATCAAACCGACCTTAGCTCAGTTGGTAGAGCGGAGGACTGTAGTTGGTAAAATGCTGTGATCCTTAGGTCGCTGGTTCGAATCCGGCAGGTCGGAATAATTTTTATTTTTTTGCTTAAAATTTTGCATTCCTTGGTTGGGTCCATCAAACGGCTGAGATTCATATTTAGTAAACCAATCCTCTAGTAATTAAGTTCCAGACAATTTGAACACATTTTGTTTCCAAATAAGTCTAACTCCAAAACAGCATACAAGTATGTGATTTCTGTTAATTTGGGAAAAATGACTTAAATTTTTTTTTTTTTTTTTTTTTTTTTTTTCCCTCCGATGATAGTGACTTTGTAATACCAATATAATCCTCCATTAGACACTTGCAATCAACCACCGAGAATCTTATCATTATCTCTTCGAGGGAAGATATGAATTGAATAACTCGAGCCAAAATATTATTTCTAGAGTCATGATACATCCTTCAAATTCGGAAATCCTCTCTCACATACCCCCTAAACCATCTTTTCGAATTCAGATGATGTATCACGTTTCTAGAAATAATATCAAAACTTGAATTATTCAATTCATATCTATCCTCAAGGAGATAACCTAAATGATAAGGTTCTCCCAGAATGCATATGTCTAGTGATGGATTATGATAGCGTTTAAGAGGCCAAATCGGTTTTTTTTTTTTTTTCATTTATTATATGGTGGGGTGGGGGAGTAAACCATTCTCTCCCAAATTAACAGAAATCACATACCACATACCCCTCCCTCAGCATCATTCGAATTGGGAGGATGCATCTTTTTACTTAATTCTATGGAAAATTATGCTTAGGACACTCTCTGCCAATTAGAGAGAGCCGAAGGTGGAACAACTCTAGTCCATTTAGAGAGAACCAAAGGATTGGCCTAAATAGCACCACTCTATTTCTACAACTGATTGCACTCAAAACTCAAATAATAATAATAAAAATCCACATTCTCATGTTTAATAACCCAAACTTACTTGACAAACATGAAAAACATTTCAAGGGTTTTGTTCAAAGATAAACAGGGCTGATATATTTGGTGCCTGCAAGCAAGTTCATCTTGCTGGTCTTCTTGCAACTGCACTCAAAATAACCACAGGACTATGCTGCCATACCAGTCCCAAGAACAATCAACCAACCAACAAAATTATTCCAACAACATGAAGCCAAAGGCATATTTATTTACAGATACAAAGGATACTAATGAAAGCGGTCGGGATCATTCTTTTCATCCCTCCACAATAAATAGGTCGGTCCATGAGTTCAGCTACAGGAACTAAAACATAATGTACAGATACAGAGTTGAAAAGAGGTCAGGCTAAGGATCCACTGGGCCAACCATTGCCTCATCGCTAGAGTCGTACTCATCTTCACTCATCTCCTCGTCGCTAGATTTCTCTTCAGGGACAGCTCCAATATCTTCTGGCTTAGCATATTTCTGGCAGTACTCTAAATAATGGAACAGTACAAGCAATGTTAGTGTCAAATTCATATTGTGTTACGATGTAATAAATTCATTGCCAAACCACATTAAACAATTCAATGTCAATCTCCTATACCATTTCAGAACAATTCTCATGCCATATGGTGTTACTGACAAAATGATAATAAAGAATTAGAAAGAAATTGAAGACTTCCTTTAACGAGGAAAAGCCTTGCTATTCACCATGTATCAAAGTCTCCTAATTGTTCAAAGTCTCCTAATTGTTGTAAAGCGGAGAGGGTTGATCCAGCAGGAACTAAGAATCTGGAACTCAATTCGACAAGGGACTAAACAATATAACCAAAGCATAAACGTTAATTTGAAAGATGTCTATTCACCATAGTGGAACAAATAACAGCTTCCAAAATAGAAACAAAACTCTCTAATATCACTTAATCAAGCATAAGTCTAATGGCAACACTTGTTTAAGTTTGATCATTTTTGATAGGTTCAAAAGCTTCATATCAATAAAGCAAATGTTCTAGGAATTTAAATAAATTAAGTACCTTCTCACACATCTTTAAGCTGCAAAGCTAGATGACAACCATGCCAAGTTTTAAAATATAAGCACATAGTCGACTCTAGCCACGGGAAGGAAAGGTTTGAAATTTCACCAACAATGGTCATCATAAAGCACAATCTCTATTCTTATATTTTTAGATCAATCATGCTAAAGACTCCCAATCTACAAGCCAGTCATATACTTTGTGATGATCAAAGATAATTATGGATAGATCAAGGCAGATTTGCATGGCGTACTCCTATTCAGGATTAAAACCAAATTATTCCTCATGAGGATAGATGGAGCGAGGGTTTGCCAATACCAAGAAGTGCTTGCTCTTTTGCAGGCCTTTCAGATCCTCCTAGGATTTTAGAGTGCTTTTCTGAGGGTTACTCAGAAAGGTTGTAAGATGTGGCCGACAGGCTAGAGCTTTTCGTTGGATCTCTGCACTGTGCTTTACAATGTATGAAATTACGGATTCATTGACATATTGGGATTAAGTGGATCCATAGATTAGCGAGTACGAAGGCTAATTCTTTGGATAAAAGCAGGGCTACCACTATGGAGAATTTTAGAGGTCAATTCTAGCCATGAGGTGGGCTTGATGCTGGATCATACAACTGGGTGTGGCTTTTATCCTTTTTTTTGCTGTTGAAATCTTCTTTTATCTTCTCTAATTCATCTTGTTTACCAGTTAGTAGCTTCTATTTTCTCTCTTACTTCTTCTCTGTTTCTGACTGAAATATAAAGAGTTGAGTAAATAAAAAATCCAGAGGATGTTCATGGCCAAGAGCAAAACGTCTGAATGACCATTTGGTTTAGGAGGATTACTCATCCACCTATGCTTCATATTCTCCCTTTCTCATTAGCGAGTTGAGCTGAAGTCAATTTCTTTTTTTGAACAGACCTGAGATAGTTGATTTTGGTCATTAGAATCTTTATTGATTTCAGTGTTACAAACACCTCAGATCTTAATATTTAGAAGTGTCTAGTGGTGCTGATTATTTTTTTTTTTTTTTTTTTGATAAGTGTCTAGTGGTGCTGATACCTTGTAATTTTATGACATGGCACAAAAACTGATTCATAAGTAAAGATCCACTTAAATTCAGACATGAAGAATAGTTGTGAGACAAACATCAATCATATAAAGCAGTAAAAAATCAAACAAAATCACAAAAGCCCACAAAGAACACAACATGTTACGTGATTCAGTTTGCCTCCATCCATGGAGGAGAGGGAGGTCTTAACAAAAAGATTATAGGGCGCCACAGGAGCGCTCAATCACTCAACTCTTAGCTCTCAACCCTATTACCAATCAGTCAACCCTTCCCTCGTCAATCAAGCACCTACTAATTGCCACCTCAACCAGTTGAGCCTTTTTTTCTCAACTGGTCCATCACATTAGAACTACTCTCAACGAATCTACAATTTACCTAGATCAATCAGAGGGATTTACGACAATAAAGGTATCAATCGAGTAACCTCTCCTGATTCCAAAAAAGGGCCAAAAAAGTTTTACTGTGGAGCATTGCCTTGAATCCCAGAACAGGCCAGCAGGTTATTTAACTGGGCCTATTCCTCAGCTCCCAGAAAAGGCACTATTTAGTGTTTCTTAGAACCCAATCACATACAAGATATATATCTCAACAAAAGTCCACTAAAAATAATTCTGTGGTTATGATGAAAACTAAATCCTACTCAAGTAAGAAGTGAATTGGTTCAACTTGATAATGCCACAAGAACAAGAGAAAGGCCTAAAAGAGAATCTCGGTTGCACCTGCAAGTATAGACACAAAAAATCAATGGAGAAAGTGGCCCTAGATAAAGCATAATCACAGGAAAATGACACCAACTACTTGAGAGGCAACGCCCTAATCAGATCTGATTCTTAGAGCTGCAATTGTATGGGAAATCCTAATCGATCCAAATATTGATGGGGTTCAAAGTGCAGGACCCAAAACCTGATGTTCAGGAATTAGGTTTATCATATGAACAGGCAAATAGGAACCCATCAGCATGCCTAGGCATAGAAGACATTCAGTGCTTTGGGGCTGTGCGTGGCTCTGTTGAATTTGGGTATTAGAATTTTTAGGATAGTACAATACTGGCATTATTCTCATAGACTGCAAATAGACTAAACAGATCTCAAATTCTGAACCAAATTTCAATCTGTATGCACACCACACAATACACATCCAAATGTAAGGCAGCAGTCAAAATCCAAGGGTAAAGCAAGCACCTACATTCCACTACCCAGTACCCTTCACAAGTAGCACAACAGACTGCCCTCTTCAGAAACTTCAGTATCATAAAGATGAGACTTTAAAACAATGCATCAAAAGATTTAATTGGGAAACATATAAAATCAAAACCCTTCTAACAAATAGAAAAACAGAATAAAAGTGGTACATTTTGGGGAAAAATAACTTCAATTATGTTCATCCAAGCCTCGTTGACATAAGCAGTTCGAAAGATTCAATACCTTTAACTCTTTGTTCATAAGCAGTACGGTCGCGCATCATTATAGCTGCAGCCTCCCCATTTAAAGGGTCAGATGGGTTAGGATACAAAAGAAGTTGGGGAAGAAACACTTCAAATACATTCACCAAATCTGGAAAACACGACTAACATCAGAGGCTAATAACTCCAACATTTAAATAGAGAGGCAGCTTTGTCTTATCTTCAGAAAGCCATTAAAATTTTGTTTATGAAAGACAATCATATAAATTAGTTTACCAAACATGGGGCTCCAGGTCTGATTAATAACATCTAAACAAACTGAGCCTGACCTGAAATAGTAATCCACCAAATTGTTAGACATACCATTCCATTTTAAGCAGATGAATGTGGTAAAGAGTTGTGATACAGCATCTGAAAGTCCGACATATCCGACTGCATTTATGTGACCGGGGGATGACATCATGAGATGACGTCGGATACGTCCGACTTTCAGCATTTTCCTGTGGTGAATTACTCTCCATAAAAATCAAAGAATCATGACATTTGATTACTCACATCTCATCAACATTTGGGTGATAGATCTTATTAACAAAGCCAATTGAGGGAGATTTATATGGATAAGCATCTGGAAGCTCAACTCTTATCTTCCACACACCTCCATGATAAGGACCTGCAAAGATTAATTCAGGAGTAGAGAAACAAATAAGATGCTCTTTCTCTTAAAAACTAAAAACAACCCATTTGCATGTTACAACAAAATTTAGTAAATTCATTGAGAACTAGGAATAAACAAATATGGCTAACAAAAACATTATTTACAGGAAATCAAAAATCAACTCTATTATAAGTCTTCACAAGTTCAATTTTTGCATTAAGAAGCCCCAATATCTGGGGAACGTTTTAGGCAATAAACAAGCCCAGAAAACTGCTTATACAAACTCGGGAAAAGGGAAGGAAAAAAAAAAAAAAAGTACTAATTATCAATAAATATATGTCAAATTTGTACTAATTAAACAAATACAGAGTAAATAAATAACCACATATCAAATACCCAAAAGCGAAATTCTTTCAGTAATTACAATCAATAATATATAGAAAAGAATCAATTATGACATCAAAGGATGTAACCAAAAGCTCAAAACATGTGTAGATGGTCAAGATAGCTTAAGCAAATAAGAGAATTATCAACAAAATAGCAAAAACCCATAAAAGCATAAATCTTAAAAAGCTCAAACTTAAGAATCATATAGAAGATTGAGATATGGGTATGGAAGATTTACTGTCATTGGGTCCGTGGAAATGTACATAGAACTCTTGCATGCCATCGTTGATCATCTCAACCTTATAGTCACTCATCATCCTAGTTCACAAACACAAAAGTAAAATAAAAAAAAATCAAACAACAAATCAAAATTAAGTTCGAAAAAAGAAAAATTGAAGATAGATAAGTCAAGAGTTTAATTAGAGTATTAACAGTTTCATCAAGTCCATCTCTCGGCGTTTGCTTGGGGAAGACATGATTTTTCTCGGAAATTTTTTGCCCTTTTCTTCGATGAGAGAGAAGACAGAAGAGAGAAGAAATGGGTTGCTTGCAAACCAGAGAGAGAGAGAGAGGCGAATTGGTTCAGACATCAATGAGTGAACCTTGGAGAGACAATAAGAGGTACTGATATTTTCGATTACCCCCATGAAATATTGATATTATAATAACACGCCTCTCATTTTCAAGAATCTTCTCATATACCCCCCTTTATATCTATATATCCTTTTTTCCACCCCTCTCACTCACACACAACTCAACATTAGGTGTCAGTCATTTTAGGTGATAAAGTCGTTTGAAAAAGACAACTAATGTGAGTCATTCATGGTGGGAATAATGTAAAAGTTGATTAAATGATAATACAAAAAAATTTAAAATTTAAGTGATACGAACTCTCGTTCTTTCTTTAGAAAGTGCATATTGCATGAAAACAAGTACTGTAATAGACATATTCTCGTGTGTCTCTCGTTATGTCAACACTTATTCATCACCTCCATAATTTGTTTATCAAATAAACAATAATCCAACTTGCACAAATTCGATCTTTTCTTAAAAATGAAATCTAGAGTCGATAAACACGGATATGATATGATATTGATACTGATACTGATACTGATACGAATATATAGATATGTCAAATTTTTAAAAAGTAGAACATGAATACGATATGGATACGACTACATAAAATATAAATTTTTATTTTTATACATTTATTCAGTAATAGTATTATAAAATTTTAATTTATTTATACTTTTTATATTAAAAGTTGTTATGAAATGAATTAGAAAATGAAATTATTTCATTATTACAATGATTTTTATATCATATATACCATCATTTCACCGCTTTGTCATTATGGCATTCATATTATTTTTAAAATTATTGGTAGACTTATTTTAGAAATATCCAGAAAGTGTGGTAAAGTGTCTCGACAAAGTGTAAGCTAAATGTTCAAAAAGTATAGACGAAATGTTCAAAATAATAAAATTAATTTGTATTTATGAACACGTATATAACATGGTGAACAAATATTTAAAAAATATCCGAAAATTGTCAGCGTCCAATAAGACTGCTAAGAGAAGTGTATGTGTATATTACCTCATTCTTAAGGCATAAGAGAGGTCAATCAAGACAGGTGGAAAAGTTAGGGTAATATTCTGTCGTCCCTGGTATTAAAAAAATGAGAATGCGACCCACAAGTTCATTCCTTATTTGCTAAACTCATCAATGTTTGTTTGAATATGTTGATTTTCAGTATTAAATTAAAATTGGCAATGAATGTAACAAGAAGCAAATCAGTATCATCAACCACCAGGAAGAAAAAAAAAGAAATTGTCAAATGACAAAGCTACTTTTGCTCTCCATGGTACCATGTGGTTAATTAAAGTTTAAAACCACCACCTATTCAATACCACCACCTACCACCCTCATAAGTTGACACGTGAATTAATTTGGATCATAAATTTTTTTATACATGCCAGACCAATTCAATTCAGGTTAACTCAAATCAACAAGTTTTAATCCAATTATTTGGTGGATCCCTCTTGTACCTATTAGTTTGCAATATCGATCACGATTATAATATCGATATGGATTACAGTGTAACAGATTCACATAAAATTAATATAAATTGATCTATACAAATTACGTATCAGACTTTATGAAACTTTTTCTAAGAATTCATTGAAATTTTTTCAAAATATTCATTTTCATAAAGACCATTAATACAAGGATAGATAGCAGAGCATGTATAAAGACCTGTTCTACTGATAGAGAATAATTTAGTTCCCCCAATCACTCTCCATTCAGACGGCTTTCGGTCCCTTAATTATTTTCCTTTTATAAAATGTGCATATGTACATTATGTGTGATAAGTATGTTTTATTCCCAAAACAAGATAAATTTAAGGAAATCTCATCACTCCACCTTTTAATTTTAATAATTAAAATGACTTGTTTCCTTTCATTTGTTAAACGAAGTCTATGAAATTTATTAAGAAAGATGGCATAAAGAAAAAAGGACAAGTCAGTCATTTCAGTTGTTAACCTTAGATGGGAGTGTCAATGTTAGCTCCTGATAAATTTATCAAAATAAGGGGTAAAGTGCAAAAAAATTCCCGTCAACTATGTTTAAATTTGCAAATAACTCCCTGAACTATGTTTTATGCATAAAACCCCATTAATTATCACATTTAGTTGCAAAATATCCCATTTTCTTACCTATTTTTTTATTAAACGACCATAATACCCTTTCTTATTGAATTACACTTGATATATATATATATATATATATATATATATATATATATATATATATTTCATAATTTATTTTAACAAATATATAAAAAATATGAAATATTCTTATGAATAGATTGCATTAAAAAGAAGATATTTTTTATTTACGTAATTTATTAATTTTTCATGAATATTGTTTGAAAAAAAAAAAAGAAATTTTTTTACACTAAATTATTTTAAAGTGAGTATAATGAGTTTTATTATAATAAGTTCACCATTTTAGAAAATGATAGCTACAAATTTATTTAAATTTTTTCATTTTTATAATCATTTGATACTAATTATAAAATTAAGGTAAATGGTATAATTAATATTTAAATAAGAGAAAATATGATAAAAAATAATTTAATAAGAAAGAACAAAATAGTCTTTTGTAATGAATTTATCCTTAATTGTAATAAATCAATAATTTAGAGAGGCAATCTTTAATTCAAGAAAATTAATTACAAAAAATTAATAATTATATATATATATATATATATAGTGTTTTGATGACAACAGGTACCTTAAAATTGCCTCAACAAGTCCAAAACCAATAATTGTAACTCAAAATGTCTCCAGGCAAGATGGCCTAATAAGTTGCTTAAAGAGAAATTCACAGGCGTGGACGGTGGTGAATTGGAATAGAGAAAAGGTAAAAAGGTGATATGGCATTTTTTTTAAATTTATAGAGAATTGTGCAATCCAACTAATCCAATCACCAAACAACATTCGTTTGACCTAACTTCTCAAAAGCAGACATTATAATTTAGAGCACCCTACAATTATATGAATCATGCGTCAGATTCATTGCATTACAATCCCTTTTCTTGTATAATTCACACTTGACAGCGCCTGCCTCATGTATAATTACATAAATGACCTCATTCAAAGTTCTCATATTCAACTGATGAAAAATGTGCGTTTTGGGTAAAGTGTAAAAAAAATCTCTGCTGCATACATAAAATGTGAAAAAATATAACACATGTTTGATTTATAACTCTAAAAACAGTTCTCAAAAACTCGACAGACAGAAAATAATTTTCAGACAACTCTATAATCTGAAAACATGCATTTTCAGAAAACTAATATATTCTCACTATTTAGTTACTACGTGAATGTTAATGTGTAACATTTAAAAGTGTGCGTATTACTTTTTAATTTCTTTTTAACAGTCAATTTTTATCAAATATATCGTTAAAAATTGAAATGAATATATATATTAAGTTTTTCGATCTTTAAGTTAATAAAACATCCTTATTTACTCAATTAAAAAATATAAGGATTTTTTTTTTGTTTTTAACGCCGCGGGAAATATTTGCACTTACCCAAATAAATATTTGATTGGTAGTGATAATGGTATAACCTTAACCTATCCCTCCCTTTCAATTATCCTCCATTTGGATTCTCTAGCGAGTCTTCTACTGTAATGTGCTCCAACACGTTTAAATTTTGATTTAACACATTACTTCTTATTGAAACATAATTTAGTCGCGTTAAAAAATGATTTTAACATATAACAGACGTAATGTATTGAAATACGATTTAATTAAAATGAAATATTTACAGCACTATTGCAACATAGAATTCAACCGCTAGTCCTCTCTAGAATACCTGATTGGTACGCTTGATGGAGCGAGATTCCAGTGGTACCTTCAATTTGAAAAGACCTCCCATGTCCCACTCTCCAAAAGTAAAACAGAGACGCTTTCTTTTTTCCATTGCAATAATTTTCTTCCAATACTGAATAAATTATTACTACAGTTTTTTAATTTTTTATTAATTAATATTTATTCCCTTTTTCTAATAAAAAAATATGAGGAAACATAAACACAATCTACATTAGTTTTATGTCATCTAAATGAATGTTTTCCTTGAGCGCTCTCTTTGCTTGTGCTATTATAAACTATGAATGCAAGTCTCAATACCAACAAAGTAGGAACCCTAATTTAATGAGACAGAGTCACAATGGAAACATTTAATAATAAGATAATATAATAAATTGATCGATTATTTTTTAAAAAAAAATATTAGGATAATAACGTCAGTATCCATTACAATAATAGATACTCACTATTCTAATGGGACAATTATCATGATGATTCTCATACTTTTCGTATTAAAATACATTGTTGTTATGGCCATTAGTAAAAGAAAATGAGCCCACCCCACTCCAGCAATAGAAAATTATATTAATAAACATATCTTTCAAAAATATTATTAAAATTTAAAAGTTACAAAATTACATAAGTATTTTTCGAATGTATGTATTATATACATAAATATCAAGAGAGGTTATGTATTATATAATACATAAATCTCAAAGAGAAGTCGGTGTATATTGACAAAATTTATTCTAAAAGAAATTAAAGCAAAGAAGGTCTATTGTATAATTGAGAAAGGTCTCCAAGTTGAATAAGCTTAAAAAAATAAAAATAAATAAATAAATCTAAAAAAAAATAAGTCACATGATATCTTATAAGTCTCATTGTGTGGCTCAATAATTATGTCTCCATGCCGAGTTATTTGAACAAACTTTGAAGATAAGACTTGCACATAAAAAAGAGTTTGGCTTGTTCATCTGACACACTGTTTAGAAAAACAAATCAAATTTCCTACGCAATGTATTCAATTCTCCATTGGAATAAACTATTCTTTGCTTCAAATTAACGTCTCATCAATTCTCATGCACAAATTAAAGATCACACAAACCAGGGAAAAGAAAAAAAAACACACACACACACACACACATGAAATGCAAGTTTTTTCTATTAGAGTTATGATTAAGTGTACTTAAATAAACACATTGCTAGAATCCACCAACTAGATAGTTACAACTTGCTGAGTGTAGTGATTGATTAAAAAAAAAAAAAAGCAAACTCAATTTATGAGGCTCCTGTTATTCCGAGAGCCAGAGACGCAACTTTATCTCTGCATGCAGAGAGACTGTCTAATTTAGACATACAATTGATTCTCTCACTAATGCTCCTTTTCAGTTTTCATGTAGAAAGGATAAAAAGATGGGCAGATGGAAGAGAATTCAGAAGGATATAAAGATGCCTAATCTCATGTTCTTCGGTTGACTAAGGAAAAAAAAAAAAACAGGAAAGGATATATTGAAAGAAAAGAACAAAGACATAGAAGAGGAGAAATCCCTTCTCTCTTCATTTCTTTTCATCTCGAAAGGAAGGAATGTGAGGAGCCCAAAGGAAAAGGAGTTCCTTGTCTCTTCTCTTCATTTCTCTTTCCCTTCTACAAAAAGAAAAAACTACAAGCTTACCTAATTTGGTTTTTCTAATAAAAGGATTATATTCTCAAACAACTCAAAAGCTGAAAACAATACCGTACAATGTTTTTTTAGATGAAAACAATATAATGTTTTTTACATTCTACCCTCCATAATTAAAAAAAAACAGCTTAATATTAAAGAACAATCTTTTATAATTCTTTGAAATTTGTATTTTATTTTCAGAGTTCTTGAAAATTATTCTCAAAGAATTGAATCAAACAAGTAATATGACTCATATCCTTTGCTCCCTTTTGCCCTCACCCACTTTCTTTCCCCCCTAGTCCCTAGTTGGCCATACGTCAAAGCTCAAACCAGAGTTCAAACTCCACTGGTAGCTCTCCCTTTCTCTTTTCCCTACCCCAGATAATATATAATTACTTTTCTTAAATGTACCAAAATGAAAAGAAAAAAAATTGAAAATAGAAAAGTTTATACAATAGCTAAGGAAGGATGCCATAAAAAAAATATATAGGAAAATATGTATAAAACAATCTTCATGCCTGCTATGGTTCATTCTATTTTACACAAATCAATATAGTATTCACTCTTCATATCAAGATTGTAAAGCCAAAATTGTTCTTTACAGCATAAAAGAAAACAAAAGGGACAGGAGGGACAATATTGCCTTTCCAATTAAAGGCTCCCTAACACAGTAAAAGAAATCACTCTATGTGATCAAGTACCTATCCTGTTCTTGTGCACTCGTGCACATACATATTGACATGAGATATTGGCAGTAGAATAGAGACCAGAATGCAAACGGATGAGGCAAAAGAAATTTTCTTGCCGTGTTAGATTGCATGGAATTGATGCCTTGGAATTAGAATTGGAAAAAATTTAGTTTAAACATTGAACTGATTTTTCTCCAATTCCAACGCACCAATTCCATACAACCGAACACAAACAGTAGTGATGTTTAAAGACCCTCAAAGCAAGTGCGTGTACCCTTTCTCAGAAGAGAGACTACACTTCAAATTTTAACTCTTTTTATGTCTCATTACCCATGGTTTGGCTTCTTTATATAGAAGAGTATGATAAGTAATAGTACCTGTATTAGATGTCTGTATCATGATCAATGGACAGGAATCAGAAGTATAACTTGAGAACAGGAAAATACAAATCAAAAACACTTGAGCAGCTCCAATCCATCTACGAGGACTACTATCTAAAACTCAAATGTGGCTTTTTTGGAGTACGCAATATGGAGTCTGATGACTTTACTGCTTCATGCCCAATTAAGTTAGTTAATGATCCAAGCTCTGATTCATCGTCATCACTGTCAATTTCGCTTGGGGTGCACCTATTCTGGTGACTTCTCCGCTGGAGAAGAAAAACATTGAAGTAGTAGCTAACTAAATTTTCTCTGCTTTTGCCAGGAAAAGACTTAAACATTTCAACCCAGAAACACTTGTCCATAGATGGAGGATTCAACCTAACTATTGCCTGAAATTTCTTTTCTTCTTCCCTTGTCCAACAGAGTGCACCTTTCTCGCCCATCTCACTAAATTTCCATCGATAGAAGGCTGAGCCCAACTCAAGCTCCAATTTCATCCTTTTCTCAGAAACATGGAATCTGACACATTCAACAGAACCTGAGAATTGGCAACCACATGAATCCTGTCTTCCTTTCCCAATGCGTTCCCTTTCAATTAGAATTTTTTTGTGCTCTCCAGCTTCCAATGGCCAAAGCCGGGTACCTAACCATTTAGAGTCACTTTCACAAGTCCCACCATTCCATTCTGGTACTTTTGCCTGAAAATATGGCCCCACGGGAATTCTCTTTCTTCTATGATTGTCGAACAACAAACCAACTACTGAATTTGCAGTCATGAAGTCGGACTCTCTGTCATCCTCCGAGTCAGTCTGAGTACCTGAGGAGGATGAGCCCGAACAAGCTCGTGACTGAGACTTTTTCAAAGAAAAGAAAGCTCGACACTCTTTCACAGTATGGATCCTCTGGCTGCATCTTAATCTCTCGGATTCAGTATGGTCATCATACATGGACGGATGCATTTTCTGCTTCTTCTACAAAGTGCACAAATGATAGGTATCACCATCAGACAACGCAGATGGAGATGTTCATCTTTCTCTACAAGTAATCTTAATTTACTGAATTATCATAACAGAGGTCACAGGATAATGAAAAATATTAAACACATACTAAAAGTGCAACTGGCAAAGAAAGGCTAGATTTCTGGGTAAAGCCATAAAATGGATGCTTCTGGTCACAACATTTCCTCTGCAAAATACTTCTGGTCCTTAATAGAAAATTTACCCTAAATGTTGCCATAGCAGTCTCTATACTTTCATTCATGTTAAATTATCAGTACTTTCAGTTTTTGTGAACTGGCAGAGACAGTCATACTATGCATGCTTCACTCCTAGAATATGAACTCAATATGCTGTGGAGAGAGTTAACAAAATGTAGACATATATAGAAATCAAATGCAAATAAATAAGTTGGAAAATCTAGGAAAAATAAAAAGGAGGATATAAGCTATGGCACAGAGGACAACAAAGAAAGGAACAGTAAAAGATAAACCTATATATTGTATCTATATACACACACTACATATGATACTAAAAAGAAAGGATCCTTTAAAACTGAGAGAATAAGGGATAGGATAACATTTATGGAAGGAAAATAGAACAATTTGTGCACATGCCAAGAAATATTATGTGCATCCTTTGCAATTGCCCCAAATAACAGCTTAATATTCAATAATAAGTATTGAGCAAGATGTAGAGGAAACAAGAAAAGAAAAGGAAAAAAAATAATAATAATCTATACAGAATTTGTCATTGCAAGTGAACATAGTTGCCACAAACAAAAAACAAAAACAAATAATATAATACCTTCAAGTACATGCAAGTCCATTACAATCACTAGCAGGTAATTTTTAGAGTAAGGTTCCTCCACCTAACAAACTCATTAATAGTTACTCATTAATAGTTGGAACTACTCTCACATGGCAACTGAAACAAAAACAAAAAAAACGAAAAAAAGAAAAAAAAAGAAAAGAAAAGAAGATATGGTATGATATTGAATATGAAGATGGGTGAACTAACTTGTTTAGACAGCATACCCTCATTAAATATAAGGGCTATTGTAGATGCATGCTTGGTTGACGAATTCAATCCACATATATATATATATATATATATATTTTCAGGTACCAGCCTCGAACCTAGGTACCTTTTAATACAGCCTATTCATAAGTACTGATGATGAAAACGATAAGGTCCAAATGGAAAACAGCCCCTCTACGTGCGAAGGTAAGTATGACCTTCCCCAAACCCCGAAATGGCAAGAGCCTCATGCTAGCTTTTTAAACAATATGAAAGATAATACCTGAATGGTATAGCAAAGCATTTGAAACAGCAGCAGAAGATTGAAACCATAATTTAATTGACTTCCCTAAGTTTAGTTGTTAATTACATAAAGGACAATGCCATTTATACCTGCCAAATGGATTGTTCAGCACTTGAATCAACGTTTCTTTTCAGAAACATTGCCTCTCGAGCCGACAAAACCTGCTTCCATAACTGCTCGCTCCCATAAGAGTCCCACTTAGACCTTTCCGGCATGGATCCTACTTCTGGATTGCCAGGATCTTTAGCAACCTCAATAACCCAATTCAGCATTCCCAAATGGCAATCTCGCTTTCTCTTCTTATTAGAAACCTCTTCCTCAACCATACATAGATCCAAAACCGTATTCTCTTTGTCATCATCCACATTTTTTATGTCATTAACATTTTTCTTGCCTCCACCCACCTCCGCAGAACTCCAAACCTCGTCCCCATTGCAAAATTTTCCCACATTCCTAAAATCCAGCTCACTTTTCTCCAAATCCAAATGTGGGTACTCCCCATCTTTCTTTGCCTGATCCGAAACTTTTAACAAGAACCCTCCCAATTCTGACTCTAGCTCCATCAACAGCCCACCCAGATTTGAACCACTATCTCGAAACACACGTTTTGAGTCCTTATCTTTGGAACATACTTGCAACCATCTATCCAATACATCTAGATACTTAGCATAGATCAATTTCACAGACGGAGCAAAATTGGAGCCCAATCCGGACTCTGTAGCCACTGTATCCCACAACCCATTCTTCGACACTGTATGGTACCCACCTTTTTCTCTCACTAACAAGAAGAGTTTGAATAAATTTACAGATTGCCCTTCACCAAGCATTGGAGGTAAAGGCCAAGAACAATCACTGCCGTAGATCTCTTTGAGGAAAAGAGATATGAATTGATCGAACAAGTGTCGAAGCTTTTGCTCGTCACCTACCACGGACACTTTTGAACCCAGTTCGACGTCGACACAGAACTTTTTGGTTTGAAGTTTTTGAAAGGTTTTGAAGCTGTCTAAAGCAGACCCATCAGATAGCTTCGACCAACCTGCCATGGATTGTGAATTCAAACCCTAACCCAAATCAAATTACACTCGTATATACTGCTTTACAATACAAAAAATCACAGGAAAAAATTACCCAAAAAATAAAATAAAATAAAACAAATTAGCAGGAGAGAGGGAGGGAAAGAGAGATGGTTACAGATTAACCATCTGGGTATTGATGGTGAAAATTGAGATGGGCTTTTGGCGGGAAGCCATAGCCATTGATTTAGACCCTAGAGCATCGAAGAAAAATTGGCGCGCCCCATCATTTGAAGTCCCGCTCTCCCCGAGAGAGTGATAAACAGTGAGGGCTTTTTCAAAATTTGAACAGATCTTTTCAAAAACCAAGACTTTGCCATTTGGGGAGTAGTAAAGGAAAGAAGACGTACCAGTATTTGGAGTATTTTGACATTTCTCTCCTCTTGCTTGCCTTCTCTCTAACCCTTTATAATTGGTCTCATGTTGTGGGCTACAGTACTTGAAATGGGAAATTATAGAGAGAGATGATAAAAGAGCTTTTTGATGTGTAAGAATGGGCATAACACTTATTTATAGTTGACATCATTAACTAACCATAGTTTATAAATTAGGGTGTTGGGTTGGTGGTGGGGTTTAATAATTGATTGTGATTGGGTGAAGGGCATTTTAGGAAATAAAAAATTTGGGTTATTATCGAGACTTTGTTTTTGTTAGAAAGAAAGTTACGGAAAATACAAAAAAAAAAAAAAAAAGCAATTTTTTTACTTTTTAATGAGTTTAGAACTTTAGATGGCAAGAAAACAATTTTTTTAGTATTTGATTTTACTCTAAGCTTTCATTAAAAGAAAAAATGGTAGCTTATTGTCACACATTCATCAAACCCTAAAATTATGCCATACCACTTCTTTTATACAGTAAAATTCTCATTATAATCAAATACAAGGAATGAAACTCTTTTTTTTTTTTTTTTTTTTTTATTCACCTCTTTTTGTTACTTTCAATTTTTAATACTCTCTTCTACCCAATGACTTATTGATATGTGGCTTCAATTCAGTTTGTTAGTCCATGCTTTTTACTATCAATTTGAGCTTCAGTTTGGATCATAAACTCCTACTGCAGATATAGATTATCTCAACGGAGAAGATCAAGAGTTAAAATCCCGATGTGTGAGTTTTAATAAATTGAATGGTAGAGAAACCCCCACTTTGTTCCTAAGAGAATTTGAATGATAGCCTTTGCAAGTTACAACTTGGAACCGGTGATGAGACGAATTTTCTCCCCTACAATTTAGTAAAATTTTCTTTCTTGTTTTTCTTTCCTCTTTCCTTTTTCTTTCCCCTTTCTTTTCTTTTCTTCTCTCAAATAATATAAGAATTCCTTACTACTTTGGACTCATTCGAAACAAATGTATGCAGCATACATCATGTACATTTAAAATAAGGGAGTCCGTACAACAAAGTGGAATGAAACAAATCATCACAGTATAAGAAGCAGAGCTCAGGTTGTATAGTTCTTCAAGACTCCAACCATTAACTTCTGATTGTAACTGGGAACAAATAATCAAGGTTTTAAATACTAGATAGGAGCTATGGGAAACCAGCAACCACTTCTTATGCTGTGTTGGACTTCATTTTTTCTTCAAATTTTCGACATACATACGAGAAAGGATGGACCCAAATATACAATTGACATGTACACTGCTGACCTAAAAATAACTATGACCAAATTAAAGATCGGTCTTTAGGCCGGCTCTGATCATTTCCATAACAAGAACTGACATGCATCTGCAGCATTCTGACTTTGCAAGATTCAACTTCAGAAGGCAAAGAAACTCTATTGTTGAAGCATTAAAGAGCTTCAAATATCATTTCCTGCGACACAGAAACATAACATTTTCGTTAGGTCACAAACGCAAGTACATATAATGATGGGAGACAGAAAGCTAGTCATATAGGTTTGTTTCCTTAACAATCTGCTCCAGTGAGCACCTACTCAGTATCACTAATGCACACACATAAGGTACCGACAATCATTTCACCACAAAGCAAGAGTGTTATAGTTTCTTTTTCTTCTTTTTTTTTGTCCTCTCTACCCCTTGTATAGAAGGTAAGAGATAAAGGGTCAACCAAAACTAACATGAGATAAAGGGTCAACCAAAACTAACATGAGATAAAGTTATTCAAAAATAACTTTTAAAAGTTAAATAATAGGAGCAAAGGCCTGCAATAGAAAAGAATGAAAATTGACAATTCATGTGGCCGACCCCATTCGTACCAAGATGAAGGCAAGAATGATGATAAAGAAAATTGACAATTCATGTGGCCAACCCCATTCGTACCAAAGACGAAGGCAAGAATGATGATAAAGATGATGCTCTTCTTAGAGTAGAAACTCCTTAAATAAGGTCGCATCCATCTGGATAGGTTATGGAAGTGGAGACAATCCGCATAAACTAACGGAGATAACATGGGAGTGGATTACCGTGGAAACTGAGACAACACAAGAATAGAGAGTGGTAATAAAGAAAATATAGGAGGATTCTCAGGACGACTGCTGCCATCTCTCTTCTAGCACTTTTGTAGAAAGAACTGTTCATGAGGTAGAAGAGCCCCTCCATTTATGGGAGTTCAGGAGAGCAGATGACAACTAGCGATAGGTAATGCTCATTAGGGCTGTAAATGAGCCAAGTAGTGGGCTGTTGGAGCTCGGCTCGGCTATACAGCTGGATGTTTGAGCTTGGCTCGAGCTGAAGCCAAACTCTCACAGCAGTGTTCGAGCTCAGCTCGGAACTGTTCGTGACGAAGTCGAGCCGAGCTCGAAGCTCGTTAACAAAAAAGGCAAAGACATGTAACAGACCTCCTATATATATTTATATAGTATATACCCACCCATTACATACCCAGTACAAAGACGAATCAAACAACAACAAATTACAGAGATCCTTACAGAAAAATAGATATATGGATGCATTCAGCAAAAACGAGATCTCCCCAAAAAATATATATATTTATATAAAATTACAAATTCTTCACTTATCTTCACACCAATCTTCTCCCAGAACTTCAAAGGGATGTTCTTGTAATGCTTTTACATCTCCTTTTCAGTCTTGATTTGGAAGGAGAAGATAAATTTGTGTGCGCGAAAGAGACGCAACACCAGTAGTAGTAGAAGTGTGTGAGAAAGACACAACGGCTATTTGGAAGAGGAATAGAAGAGCGATGAGGTAAGATTAGGTTAGGGTCTATTTATATATAATAGGCTTATGGATCCTTTGGTTGGGCTAAGATATTTCATTTTATATGGACCTTACATTCTCATTTTTAGATATCAAAAATGTATAAGTTTTCACTATTAGCTACATATATATTATGCATATAATTACATGTGTTCACGAATACGTTTACGAACTTTGTTCACAAACATGTTCACGAACAAACAAGCTGAGCAGAGAGTTGTTTGAGTTTGGCTCGTTTATTAATTGAGCTTGAAATTTTTGTTTGAGTTTGGTTCATTTATTAAACAAACGAACCCGAACCGAGCTCTTACCGAGCCGAACTCGAGCTGTTTGTCGAAAGCTTGGTTCATTTACGGCCCTAATGCTCTTATAGTTACAACATTGCAAAATGGTAATACCAGCAAATCATAGGAGAATAATCCAAGGTGAGGAGACGTCTACAAAGCACAACAGATGTCGGCCTCGTGTTCCTAAGACATGGTGTCTCTGGCTGTGAGGCGTGCCATTATAATAGACAGCGGTAGAGAACACCCCTCTACAAGCCATGCAATGAGTAAAGGTCCAAGAAAACGGTCATTGACCAAGCAATCAATACGTGCATAAATAAAATTCGATGCAAGGCAAACCTGATCACATATGGGGCATGTGTCACTTCTTTCCCTCCACTCAAGGATGCATGAAAGATGAAAATGATGGTTACATTTTGTGATAATTCTCGGGTTCTCAGAGTCGTAGTCTGCAAGCAAAGATACAAAAGCTTGAAAAATTAGTTAAAGAGCTTAACTAATTATGGGTTGCGAAAGCGATCCTGAAATAATTTTTACATAATCAACAAATATTTTATAATTGTACGATGAAATAATAGCTACCTTCAAGACAAGTTGGACAAAAGTCCTCTTCTTCTGTTGGGGAAATAGAGACATCTGATTTTAAAAATTCAATTTCAAACTTCTTTGGCAAGGCAAGAGAAAAGCCAGCTTGAGGTTTGTAATCCGATTCCTTAACAATCATGCATGTAGTCGAAGTTTCAAAGTTACTGCCACTTACTGGTTTTCCTACAGAAACAGAATCTGTTGATTGTGGATGTCCCAAGACCACATTATATGGGATAGGTCTAGGAGGGGTTCGGTAAGTATCAGGGGTTGATGTATCCAAATTCAAATCAAATAGGAAGCCTGAAGTGAGTGCAGTGGCTGCACTATCATGAGATGTCAAGGACTCCCGCTCCTCCAAAGCTGGTGGGCACTGCAAAAAGATGTTAGGAGTTCAGAAATAATAATTTCACGCAAAATGATTTCATGATACAACATTATTACATGAAAAAGAAAAAACTAGTGGCTGCCAGATAGATTTCCACCAGAACAAATTCTACTAATTCTTATGTCACGTGATTTAAGCGGGGAAAAACAATGAAAACTGCACGCTTGATATGAGTGTTTCTGAAGCAAATACAAAGATCTCTTGAGGTTTACAACGTGCTGTCAAGGTGGGGAGGATGGGGGTTGATGGAAAACAAGTCTTTACGCATACCAGTCTTGTTGTTTTATGACATCATCCATTGGAGATACATCTGGCAGCAAATTAGAAATAGGATGCATGATGTAATAACGCCAACAATAACAATTTTAACCTGTAACTGTAGGGTTGAACTTCTGTGACTTCCAGAAGTCTAAAATCACAAAACAATTATCACAATAGGAAGACAGCAAATTTGAAGACACTTTAATTGACTGATGTCATATGGGATCAGGATTTTAAATTCATGTGATTCTCGTGAAAGAACACCTGATTTTGCTCCCAAAGTCTATTGAACATGCTCACCCCATTTTCTTGGGGCAAGAGAGTCCTAAAGGAATTCATGACTGTAAAACACTCTCAATTAGTCAATTAAGCTCCAATATATTATAATCCTTAAATGGTTGCAAGCTTTGCAGTTTCTTCAGGCGTACTTAATAAAAATGGAACCACAGTTATTTGAAATGTTTTATGATCCAGTGGTAAGGAAAGAGCTTTATAAAAAAATAAATAAATGAATCAGATAAGTAAAATAAACAAATAAACAAACTAAGGGTGCTATATCCCCCAACCCCAACAAAAATAAAATAAAAACTCCTTTTCTCAAATATCCATTTCAAAAGCACCTTGTACCTATAGTACTACTGAAGAAAAATAAATAAATAAAAGTCCTATAAATTAAGTAGGAATTTGGAGGTCATATTGTTGAAACCAAAAATACTACTTATCAACAATTTTTTTTTAAAAGGGGACATCTGGACGATTGATTGTTCAATTTCTTTAAAAATTAAAATTAAAATTAACCGAATCTCAGAACACAAAAGAGCAAGGACACCAACAGAAACTATATAGTAAATAGTTCATGACATTCTTCGGCTAGGAAGCATGGACACTCCAAAATGGGCGAAAAATCCGTGTCCGACACTTGTCGAACACGGACACTCGTCGGACACACCCCGACACGTGTCTGACACGTCCAAAAACGTGTCTGGAGTTTTTTATTTTTTTTTTATTTTTAGACACGGCACGGACACAGCTTGGACACGGCACAGACACTCCGCGGACATGACACGAAAACTCCACGGACACGGACACTTCTGGAAATTTTTGTTTTTTTTTTTTTTGAATGCTGATATGTTCTTTTTTTTTGTTTTGTACTACCCTTTTGGTATTGTAAATGGTAAAAGTCCTAGGTCAAATAATGGATGGGAATAGATGATAGTATACTGACTTGTTTTTGTATCTTTTTTGGGGACTAGACTTTAAGTTTTTGTGAATGTTAAGTGCTAACAGTAAAGTCCTGAATGTTAAACAGTCATGAATTTTAATAGTCCTTTCTGTCTATGCTTTTGTATTTGGAGTAAATTTGCAATGATGATTAAATGATACTAGTTATTATTCTAATGTCTTGTTTTTTATTTGGTTTTATAACTCTGCAACATTGTTCTTTTATAATTTATTAGTTATGAGTTATGATTTGTGTTTTTTTTCATTGCGAGGTTGATGAAAAATAGTAACACTCAGTAATTTTTAAAGTACTACATCATATATATATATAGATATACTATTCGCCGTGTCCCCGCCGTGTCCTAATTTTTTTGGATTTGCCGTGTCGCCGTGTCGGTGTCGTGTCGTATCCGTGTCCGTGTCCGTGCTTCTTAGTTCTTCAGCATGCATTGCCAGGCCAAGTTGGCTCAAGAGTTTTATTCTTAACAATGTGTCTGTTTTTCCTTGAATCGCAATAACATGGGGAGGTCATCCCAGGGTAGCACCTCCACTTGTCCTTAAGATGAATGCATGTGTCCTCATCAGAGCCAATGGTGCTTCAAATCTAGACAGCTTCATACAAGCAATGCCAGAGTGCTAATAAGATACACATACCAAATCAACCGCAGCATCTCCTTATTTTTACCAATGGTTCTAAAGTATTCCTGAGGTGAACAGCTCTTACCACAAATATGAGTTTGTGAGGTCATAGGTTTTATAATTATAAAGGTCTCAGCGACAAGTAAACAAAAGACAGCAGAAGACTAACAATAATCATTCAATATTCTGGGCTGAATTTGCAGATGCTAAAAAAACATTTGAAAAGAAGACAATGGATAAGAATGATGAGCCTGATACAAGCATCTAAAGGGTGATGGAAAAAATTACTGACATAATAATATATAGGTGTTCCATGCAGCTGAGGTCTTCTGGAAGAACAACAGCAACCTCCCATTCTCTGAAGTTGTTTCTGTTAAACACACAAATAATCAGTGCTTCAAACATTGCAATCTGTTTACAATGCGAAGATGGTCAAATGCTATAAGGTTAAGATATATAGTAAGTTGCTAATGCCAAAGAAGGTTCTACAAGTGAGCAAAACAAAACAAAAGACCACAAAAGATGCTTCAAGAAGCACGAACATGAAGAGTAACTCAATGATCTTAAATAACCCTATAAAAGCCAACATAAAAGTGAAAACACACAACAGGAACAAGTGAACGAACATCAAAAACAAGCTAGCCAAATATCTAAGTGTAGAAACAATTACACATCGTCCTTGCCTTAATTCTATATGAAGTAGGTTGGCCACATGAATAACAGTTGCATTTTTTCTTACCTCAAGTAAACATAACCAGCATATGAGCGAGGATATATTATTGAAAGCATCATAGATCCTTTTCATATACAACATACATGACATTCCTAACGCAACATAAACCGCATTTGGAAACCAAGTGCGTGCTGGCTTCTTCCTACAAGGTCCAACGACATTCTGGGTCAGCCCGTAGGTGGTTTCATTCAAGGAACAATATTCCACAATAATGAAACGGACAATTGCAAACAGAACTTGGATGAGCTTACTGCACTCTTAAATACTAAAATACCTTTTTGAGTTCCTATGCCTACCATATCTTTGCCGCAGCTTTTCTCTGGATTCTCATAATAACTTCAAGCATATAAAACCTATACATCATAATTCATAATCATTTCCTAGAATTGGAGCTTAGTGTCTTTCCAAGATACTTCACAAGCAGAGAGATTGTAACCCCTTCTGCTCATGTGTATAAAACTTATCCAAAAAAAAAGACACTATAAAGAAGAACTCCATCAATCAGAACTCAAAACATGATTGCTGATTTTATGTCAAGACCCGCCCGCCGTGTGTAAATAGTGTCCGCTTTCCACACATTATATGCTCATAGTTTTCAAAATGCTTGTCCACACATATAAGTGCCGACCACCTCTCCCCAAGACGATTTGGGACATCACATTTTAACATGCTGATTTTAACAAGTCCAATTGTATATTAACTTTCTATACTGCCAGAAGTTTTTCACTCTGATAATGACTGTGGCCAAACAAATAGATGAATCTCCTACAAAATATCTTACAGGAAAGGAAAAAAAATTCCACCCAAAATTCCTCCTCTTTTTTTTTTTTTAACATCACAAATCCATAGAAACCAAACAAAGCAAACATGAGCACACCAAAACAGACTAGCTCATACTAGAAGGAAGAGAAGTCACTTAATTATGCATATCTCAATCGTCTAATTCGAAAACAAGAACGTATCATGAATTCCAACAAGTGAATTACACAACATATGCACAATAAATTTCAGTTGCGTGAAGCAATTTAAAGTAACCCAGAAAAGCATACAAACAATCAAATTAGTTAAAATGCGAACAACATCGAAACGTGTCAACAATCGAAGCAAAACACGGTCATATTGAAGAAGCAAACACAGCTAACAAGAACATCTATCATATTAAAGAACAAATACATAAAGCAAAGGTTGTAACTTGTAATACATGCTTATATATATATGTGTGTGTGTGTGTGCGTGCTTGCTTGTGTATACATACATATATATATATATATATAAACATACATATACCTAATGATTCTTCTCCTTGTTCGGCGACCGCTCCACTGACACAGTGATATCTAATGAATGGGGTATGAGAGAGAAAGGGTTTTATTTGAAGTATTTGAACGTGTATAAATTCACGAAATGATGGTGAATTGTGTGAATAAAATAAAATCCAAGGGTTGGAGAAAAAAATAGTTCTGCAAAGTCAAAAGGTGGAAAATTCGAGAGCCTCATTAGTCAGATAAAGCACGATAAAGCTTTTGAATGGCATGTACAGTAATATATAAAAATATGGCGTCTCAGATATTATACAGAAAAGATCACTGTTCTTTCTGAGATTGAAAAACATAAAAATGGCGTCGCCCGGACTCGAACCGGAGACCTTCAGTGTGTTAGACTGACGTGATAACCAACTACACCACGACACCTTTGGTGGGTCTTGGCGTGTCATAACTAATCACTTGTCAACTCAATCAATGATATCAACATTTATTTCATTCCTTTAATGAAGTTGGACCCTTTAGATCTTTTTGTTTTTTATTTATATTTTTTTCTATGACAAAATTGGGTTCTATTAATTTAAGAAAATGATAAGTACTTCAGCATAAATATAATTGAATGTATCTGACTCTAAATCTAAATCCTAACTATAAAAAATAAATCAATAGTATTTTGAATTCGTGATCCACCAAGTATTATTTTTACAACCCAATAAAAAAAGGGAATATAGAGCCAAGAGCACCCTCATTCCTACTTAAATTTTATAGAGATAATTTAAACAGTCTGATCCATGAATAATGTAACATATATAATTTTTGACCTATGTAACATATATATTTTGATGGACCAAATTTTTTTTTTTTTTTTTTTTTTATCTTGACCAAAAAATATATATTAATATGTAGATTTTGATTATAAATTCATCATTTGTTAATTTGAATGATTTGTTTTTGAACATAGAAAGACGTTTAAATGAATTGTCTTAGCATAAAAAGACGATGGTGTCGGACTTTCAAGAGCACCCCATAATTCACCATCACGCAAATATAATCCCTATCCCACATGCACCGAAGAATTACTAAAAAAATTTCCCAACAATAGCCTTAAAGGAATTTGAACTCCCCACTTCATCACCGAACAAAAATATTTAATTTAAGAAACAAACTGAAACCATACTCCTATGCACTACCATTAGCGTAAAATGTCACGTGTCAAATTATCATTAATTCAATTCACGAAAACGTACACGGTAAGTAACTTAGAGATCCGTGTCCTTTGACATAAGAACAGAATGTTAGTGATTTACATACACGGGCATATATGGAGAGAGAGAGAGAGAGAGATTACATTGGATTTGAATTTTGAATGATCTATTGAAGATAAAAGCATGAGGGCAGACTGTTAGTACTTTATAAGCATGATGTAAAAGATACTCCCATAAATTCGCAACATAAGACTTGAGAAATCAAAAGCATTCTGCTTCCATTATTAAGTTAACAAGAAGAATATAGTGTTGAAGATTTAATAATGGTACCCTTTCAATTTACATCACTTGTACATCCTCATCCTAGTTACTTTGGTGTAACTCTGTCCTCCTACCAGCAGTTCTTGATCATCTCTCTCACTACCCTCAGCTACTTCTCGATCCAAAAAAATATTGTAGATATGATTGTGGATTCTCACCTATCTCCACCTTCCGACAAGAAGAATATACAATAATACAACAAACTGCTTTCGTCAATGCAGTCAAAACTGAAGTGTGCTTGTTATTTCGATATCAGCACCATGAAGAAGAACCACCCCCCTTTCATATATTTCTTTTTCTATCGACGTCTTGAAAGAGAATCCTGCCGAGTCAACTCATAGTCTGCGGCTGGAGGTCTTTGATCCTCGGTATTTAAAGTAATTGACTTTGAACAGAGGAAGAGGAACGAAGAAGTGTAGATGCTCATGTGCCAAATGCTACAAACCAATTTTCGTGTTAGAACGTGAGAGGAAGAGGAAGAAGAGACAGAGTTGCATGCATATGTCATGATTTAATCATATACCTGTGCCAAATCCAGTAGCTGTCAGTGCTTTCCAGTTTCCAGCTTATTGCGGCCAATGCTAGTGCAGTGAACCCCGCAAGTATAAACCCCCAACGGAAATATTTTAAAATTTTCTTCATGCGACTATTTAACCATTCTTTAACGGTTTGCCAACTGTTACAAATATACACCATTACCTCAATATAAGCAAAACTAAAACAAATATCCTGTCAACTATATACTTTTGCATTTGCTCACGTTTTATAAATTACTCACTACATGTTTCTCCTACGGGTAATGGGCCAAGGGTAAGACATGATCAACAGCAATGTTTCACACACACACAGATTCTATTTGTTGGTTTTATATTCTAACTGTGTATCACATGCTCATCCATATAGAAGATTTAAATCAATATTAACGATTTTTCTTACGAGAAAGTTAACTCACCTCTGAAGCAGATTTAAATAGAACCCTGTTGGAAAGGAAAATGACCTATAATTGGTACTACATAAGTCAACCAGCCAACCAATAAAAAGACATCCTGTGCCAAGTGCTATTATAAGAATTATATTCCTGGACCTGCAAAGTTAGCATGGTTAAAAGACCAGCGTAAAGGTTTATAAAATTTAAACGTGCATGAAGTATATATATATATATACCTTGTTGGCCCAGTTTCGGCCAGAAGGGCTGTAAAAATCGCTATAGCTGTGTGAATTGTCCTCTTTGCAGCTTCTTCTAGAGAAGTTAGGTATATAAAAGTACCCACCACAGCCCAAAAAGAAAGCCAAAAATCCATAAACTGTGACAGAGAGTATCCCCGTCAACTAGTACACAATGATTCAAAAATAGGAAAAACCCCAACACACGCACAAACACGCAATACAATATTGATGCATGTACCAACAACAAAAGCCATGAAGGAAAAACTGATACCTGTAAAGCATGAAAATTTGATGCACACCACGTGCCTACATCACATGCATGATATAATGCACTTGAAATTCCACTAGATGTGAAAAGTACCGATTCAGCAAATGCCTGCACAGGAATGTAAATTTCATTTTAACAACAAAAAACAAAGGGGTCCACAGAGAGAGAGAGCCAAGATTATTAGAAGTTCTATCATCTGCTGAAAAGTTATTACCATTTGCATCCTGAGATATATAGAACCCTTTCAGTCCAATCCTAATGGAAAAGCGAAGATTACCTTCTGGCGAAGGGCCCGATAAGCAGGGAGTATAGCTGCAGCATTGGATGCAATAAGGAAAATTGATTGCCATACGTGCCCTACATGAGTTTCCAGCATTTTTCATTTAGGAAACCAGTACAGCATTAATCAATTGCTAATGCCAGACTTCAAAGTAAACATATTAAGCCAAATTGAAGAAAATATCCACTAAACAGAGTTTCAACCTATATGCTTGCTAAGCTTATATAGGTTTTGATCCGGAAGCGGTAACTCAAAGCCAGCTGATAAATTATTCAAGAACCATGAAAATTGCATTCACAAACCAAGTAAAATTAGCATGGGTTAATATCCCCAATCACCTCGCATTGTTTCACTTGTGTGAGTGTGAAGAAACTCAAACCCAGCTTCACTGGTTTCCCCTGTTTCAACAGTCTGAACCAGCTGGCTTGAGTTGTGTGATTTCCATGCAACAAGTAAACAAATGTACTAGACACTAGTACCATGTATGGCATACACAATTAAAATGAAAAGTGCTAAAAATCCAGAGTTTGGTAGCAACTCAGAACCATGAAAAGTAAAATCGCAGGTACTGATACAAGGCCGTCTTCTGTTTAAAAATAAAAAATTATTACCTTGATGTGAAACAATTTCAACACCACAGTCGAAGCCACCATGATCTCGATCACAAGAGCAGAAGCTAATAAAAAAGAAGACAACATGGTAAGAAGGAATCGCGAATGGCAATTAACCAAACATTTTATAATTCAGTTTTGACATCAGAATAACACAGATTCGAACATTTCTAAGCCATAAAATGGAAAACTTTAGCTTCACGAGTTCTCATTTATCTTGCCTAGCATGCTATATATTAAACAGAGGGCAGAGTCTAAAACCTGTATATTGTTAGTCCACTAGCATCCACAACAGATTGACATTGTCCATGAGAAGAGCATCTTTTGGGGCATCTTTCAAGTGAAATTGACATGGTAGTCTGACTTTTGGAAGCAGTATCAATTGGGTTTGGGTGCCTCAATCCAAAAGTCCAAGTTCCTCCTCTAACATATAAGATGTAAAAACTGACTGTTTCTTTGCTGGAATCATACAACTTAAAAAACATGGAGCCATTGCTGCTACTTGTCGTGTTTTCATAGAAGTAGTCCCAGCTATCCAGAGATGGCAATCCACCATATTTGGCATATATTTCATAATTAACTTTTACATCCGATGTTAGACGTATGTGGATATTTCCTCCAGCAGCACCATAAGGAATGTCCAGAAGAAAGTAAGTCCAAGCGACAGCTAACTTGCCCCCATCTGAGGAGTTGCTTAAAAGGGGCTCCAGAGGGAAATTAGCTGAATCTGAGGAAACCTTTCCACGGACTGGTATATAATAAGATTCAAAAGGGACAGTTGGATTTTTCCTGAGAACAGTCTGCAGACAACCATTCTAATCTTGTCAATAACTTGCTCCTGAGAATAATAAATTCAACAAGAAAAGAAACACCATCGAAGTTAAGCTGTATAAAGACAAGATTAAATGAAACTGGCATGAGAAGAGAAAATAGAATAATTAGTAATAACTGATCTACACAGAGATGTACAACAGAAGACAATACATCCTCGAGGCATGGAGCAGAAAACATGCATCCAAGGCTATGTTACCTGCACTGGCTAGGGGTGTCTGGTACATATGCATGTCTAAACGTCAGATCCTTGGCACCCCCTAAAATTTGAGATACGAGGAGTGGAAAAAGTATTGAAGCGTCCATGCATTCAGTGGTCGCATTTTTAATCAAAGGTGAAGGGTAAAATTAAAAAAGATCATAAATGATGTGTTCTTGTAGGAACAAATATAGTTATTGGCCAGTTTTGAAATTATAAGAAAGTGGGGTAAAATTACAATTCAAATTCTTTACAATACAAAATTACAAGGGAAAAGGGTTCAAACACACTCTTCATTTTTACAGCCAATTGCTTCCAGCAAAGAGATGAAAATCCTACTATGTCCAAACATTTCTATTTTAATTTGGAATATTATAGTCTACACTTATTATGAACTTGCCCCCTGAACATTTCTTTTTCCCTTGCTTATAATTCTCCCACCCCAATTTTTTTTTTTTTGGGTAAGGTAAGTAAGTGTATAGATGTTAAAAAATGTACAAACAGTTCACAAGAAAGGTATATGATTTGTGGCCTAAAACAACTTACAGGTCAGTTGCTTCTCTTTTCTCTCATCTCTTATGATCTCCTCTCTGACTCTCTCACTCCCCCCATCCCCCCAAGGAATATATATCTGGCTCCATTACTCAAGAGGGGGCTCATTTCCCAGTTCCAGCAGAGAGAATTGTGAGAAAAGGATCTCAGACCAACAATTTCACCTATATTCCCCATCTTCCGCACAGATGAATTGTGGGGAAAAGATTTACGGTTTTTTTTTCCTTTCTTCTTCTTTATTTTCTTTTCCTTCATCTTCTTCTTCACCAGACCCATGTGTTTGACATAATGTCTTACTCATGTCCTGCGCTGTAATCTTCTTGTGTCATGTCAACATGAGTATCATACGGAAAAGGGTATTTTCATTTAAAATCTGTATCTAATGATCTGAATCAACATATCAACAAGTGTCATGTAATCTCAGTATTAGTCATGGTTCAAAGTCAAACAATCAAAATAAACATGTTACAATTCATGAGATATGGAGATAAAGTAATCAACTCATAAAGTCATGCATGCATTCCGTAACTAAGCTAATGTGATCGTATCCATCCTAAGCTTAATATCATACTTGTCACTAATATATACAAATACAAACTATTCAAAGTATGGGATACACACTGCATAATTTTGCATGACCACAATTAAATTGACAAGATTCAACTTGCAAAAGTTGATAAATATGTACTTAAAATGCAAATTCATATATCATCATCACACCTGAAGCGTGTATCTTTCCCATGTGCAGTTCAATCCAGCCTTCTCTACGGGGCATTGAAGCACTTGCCAATAAAAGGAATAGCAAACTGTTCTGCTGTTGTTATGAACCCCCCCAACTTCCTTTGAGATATTAACAGGTTGAATTGAGATATACCAGCGACCAACTTTTGGTGAGCGTATAACTAAGGGTGCTTTATTGATATCACCAGAATAGTCATGCAAAGTTGCCAATGGCATTGCACCATGCCGAGCATAACACATCAAGATTATTCCACTACCATCCCCAGTGCCATTTGAAGAAGGTGTGTCATTGAATCTGACTTTTGCTGCCATAACCGTTAGCTGTTCTGCTATCCCCACTACATCCAATGAGTAGACTTTTGATTCACTATCTCCATGGCAAGAATTCTCATCAGTATTACTGCAAGAAACCACATTTGCTGCTGTTTGGTTCAAACTCGTCGAATTGTAGGTGTCAACACATGAAATGGGATTGATTGTTTGGTTGCAGTACTGGCCCCAGAGCATTGGGGCCGTACATCCTTCCACACTTACGTTGCCATTGAAAGAGTATATTAAGCCTCGATTAATCTGTAACACAAAACCAGTAAAAACACTACAATTTAACTTTTCAATGTAGAAGTATCATGACTGTCCAAAACTATGAAATTGGAATTATTTTATCAAAAGGAAAAGAAAAATCAAAAGAAAACAGCAACAATTTCAAGAAAAAAAAAATTTTGATTTTTTTTGTTTTGTTTTGTTGGGGTGACAATCAAAATACTGGTTCTCAAGTCTCAAAAAAGTCAATTCCTTTTGCTACAAAGATTTGTCTTAACCATTTACATAACTAGTACTATGTCATATAAAACGTACTCATAATTCCAGCAGTCAGTTTGTGTGTATGAGCATTTCGAGGTAAGATCCCCTATGCATCACAACCAAGCAATCGGCAAAGAGCCTTAGAAGATTTTCATTTTTCAAGTTTTCTACTAACCTAAGTTTTGAAATGTTATTTTCATTTGTTACAAGTATTATTTTTTAATTTCTGGCACAAGAAAATAGAACAAATCTGCCACTATGCTCAAGGTTTTCGTTCATATATAACTTTGTTAAGAAACAATAACAATTTGGTGTATAAAATATTATGAAGTAATATAATGACATCCAACAAGGTGAGAAGTTAAAGGATGAATATTAATGCATCCCTAGAAGAGTGCCACTACAATGTAAAAGCGTGGATCGTCAAGAATGAGAATGCAAGCTTGAGTCTAAGGACAACCACTTTATGGACATATTGTCAACAGTAAGGTTTATGATGGTCTATCCCTCCAGCACCATCAAATAACAAGGACTGACAATGCCTAATTAGGCTACCCTAAAAGAAGGTGGATAGAACAATAAAGTGATATACATGAACCAGAAAAGTATCAGAAAATGACTAGTAAAGAATATTTTGGGCATCAACGCTAATAAACTTTACCATCTTTGATCGCGTCCTCGTAGGTCCTACGCCATTAAATAGACCCAAATACCAAATTCCTGGAGCGATCTGTAAAACAACCTTGGATGTCAAATTCAGCTAAATGTTATTCAGCAGACAATCAATATACAAGGGATAAACAAATAATGCACTTATCAAATATTACATGCACCAAACTGCACAAGCCTCTCATAACTCTCACAGCAGGAAAAGTAATCTAATGCGGAAAGTATAGCATGAATGATCCAAGCATTTTAAAAGAACCTGTTCGTTTGTCAGTTTCACTGAAATATTTTTCTGCATGAGATAACAGGCCTCCGCATTCTGAAGACCTTGCATTCCTCCAGAAGATACATTAGATAGAGGACCTAAAACTGCAGGAGCATAAGAACATATAAGAATAGCTAGTAAATATAGTTTTATTGAACTAAGAAGTAAGAACATGGGAGAAAAAAAAAACCAGAATTCTCAATCAATTCAAAATTGAAAGCATAAGTGCACAAACCGGGGAAAACTTTACACAAGCACGGACAGACTAGGTGTTCAAGCTCTGCCTAATGACCTATGAGAAATGGCCCACATCGCCTTGGGGAGTGAGGTTGTTGAGACTTATATGGTGTGGGCGCTTCCTAACTGTGCAGACACATTTTGAGGAAAACCGTGAGCCAGTTCATTTTGAGGAAAACTGTGAGCTGGAAATGTGGGGAGCGTGCACAAGCCTGTGAGGGTCAGGCCAGCGAAGAGTTGAAGACGCAAGGTCCCAAGAGGGTGTGATTGTGACGTCCAACACTGCTTGGGGAGGTGAGGTTGTTAAGACTTATATGTGTGGACGCCTCCTAACTATGTAGATGCATTTTGAAAGTGTGCAAAACAGACAATATCAACACGGGTTAGGGCAAGTCATGACAAGAACATTCCAATGACAGCATGTTAAGTGATAGTGAAAAAAAAAAAAAAACAAAATTGGCATCATCAACGCTTTGACACCTTGAACAGAATCCTAGTAGGTTTTGAAAGCAACTTACCTAAAAATAAAAATCAAGTTCCATGAGTTAAAGAAATATATGATTAGGTCAATTCCTTGATGGAATGCATATTCAGGATCATGCAATGGTCGTACAGCTCAAAGATCGGTGGCATCACATGGGTCGTTCTATAGCCCCCGCTGCTATGGTTTGACTGATGGGGTGGGAGGCAACTATCAATAACTTCAAGGAAGACAGTCACTAATGAATGTGGAGTTTTGAGATATCCAAGCCAGCTATTATTCAAAGTTAATGTTTATCAGTTTCAAGTTTAAATTTTTGGAGTCTCTTCTTCAATATATGCATTTTAAGACCTAGATGTATATATAAACATAGACAGATAGAGAGATAGAGAGATTTTGCTAAAGTTATCCATTGGTGAAAGTTATCCATTGGTGAGGGCCTTGAACCTCCATTAAAGAATGAATGATTTCTTTAATCAATTAAAGATGCAGCTGATCTTATCTGTTGCTCCAGTGAGCAAGTCCAAAGCTATGTATTCTTTTCATCATTTTCCACCACTTCGGTTTCATTATTGCAGTGTTTTCCCATTCTGTTGGTATAAATCTAAACAGTTTGGTTTTAAATTGATATTTTCTGTTGAATTTTACCAAGTCCATTGATCTGGCCTGCATAAAACGGTGATGCATACGACTTTACAGAAAGTGCGGTGCTAATTAATGGAAAATAGAAAAAGGAGTCGTGTAGACAATCTCAAATAATTGGGGGAAAAAAATTTAGGGTCAGTTGAGTTGAAGTAAAATGATTATCTAGGTATTACCTAAGCCTGTTGATGAAGTGTTGTAGACATCTGGCAAAGGGGGACTGCCTTCTCGGAAGCATATCATTGGCTGTGTGCTTTTAGGAACTTTTTTAATGCTTCCAGGATCCTACAGAAAATGAGAAGGTCACTGGGATAATACTAGACAGAAATATAAAACCAAAGTAACAAACAAAAATATTGGAAAAAACCAGGAAACAGTTATCAAATAAGAGTGTGCTCAGTCTAGAAGCTTGCAAACCTGTGCAAAATTAGATAATATACTTACAAGGTCTACATCTGACTCTAAAGCTATGGACATTGAAGAGAACCACGTTGGCAAATCAACTGGAACAAGGAGCACAAACCAAAACAGTGAGATACAGCATGACTTGATTGACCAATTTCTGTTTGTCATGCTTTTGATTGATAGAATCATGAAACGGATAACTTCCTCAGGTTGGAATCATGGAAATGGTCCAATTAAGATAACTTATGAATTATGATGAAGATATATTGTAGATGAGTTTAGCCACAAGACAAGTGGTCGTGTGAGGTGAATTTGATAAATACTAAAACCCATTTAAGAATGGGCGGCAAGAAAACTTAAAGAAAATATCAGATCAAGTACCATGTTCAACATGATATATGAAAAATAGAGGACAAATGTGTTTCCAAAAACAAATATGGACTTTCAGATAAAGCTATAGAAAGAGACAGCCCGATCTTCCAATAATCCATAAGGGACCACAAAACTCTCTATTGGAAAGAAATTGCAAACTAGATTAGTGAGCAAATCAGAATATAGAACCACAAAGAACAGCAACGGAGCAAACCCACATCCGAAGAAGTTCAAAACATGCTCTTAATAAAAGTAAAGTATAGTATGATGCCAAGGATATACACCGTCTTTATGGTAATTTATCAACTATATCGTCCCCATGGAAATGTTTCAAAATAAATTTAAGCATCACATTAATATATATTGTTGTGATAGAGGCATATCACATAATGGACTCTATACTGAAGTATATTCCTAATACTATATAAAACAATGTAATTTAGTGTGTGGATGAGGCAGTCGAATTCTATGAAAATTCAATTAAGAACAATGAAAATCAGAACCAAAGGGCGTGCAGAACTTAACACCACTACTAATATCTGGATCAGTTCGATTATAACGGACTAGTGTGTGACTAGGATAAAATTAAGCTCTTGAATTTATACAAGGAGCCGAATGGTGTACATAACTTTATAAGTTACAACCAGTGACAATAAATTGATCAGTTCATTTGGGCTAGGGCTAGCCAAGTGCCCGAGGCCACCCGAGCATGGAGAGACGGTTTCCCGAATCAAAACTTGATCAGTTCATTTAATCTCCCCAAAACAGAAAAATAAAATAAAAACAAAAAATTAAGCAAATTGTTGACCAATTCAAAGCACCTCAAAAGAGAAAACCAAAGTGTATGGGTGACTTCAAAACCAAACCTAATTTTTGACTTTTTTTCTGCAACCAATTTGTGATCATAAACACTAGAACAATGTATAACATATACAGATTTATATATACATAAACAAAACTTAAGAACCACCTTAAATAGTGAATTTCGCAACTTATAGCAAATTAAGAAGAACAAATGATCATAGCACAAAATAAAACAACAATTATGAGTCCAACCAATAAATTACCATCTAATCACATAAGCAAATTCAATACATACTAAAAATAAATAAAAAATTTAGCTCGACCCATAAAACAAAACTAGCAATAAATTATATAAAACCCCGATTTAGTTAGAGAAATTAAGCGGTTGTGTATGTATGTGTGTGTAATAGCATAGAGTTACCTCTGATATAACGCCATTCGTAGGGTTTTAATTCTGTTTTAGCGTACGTGAAGCTAGATACAGTGAATGAATTGTACGGACCACTCGATTGTTCCTCGAATGAAAGACCATAACAACTTACGAATAGAATGATGAAAAGACATAGATTCAGATAAGAAGAACCCAGAATCGAATTCTTCTTTAGCATCATGTTTTGGTATATTTTGTTGATTATTCTCAGGCCAACTAATCAGTCCGCTGAGAAACGGGTTTCAGCTGATTAAACGACTCCTATACATCTATCTATCTATATATATATATATATCATATATATTGTATTATATTTTACATGACAAATAGGACTCTTGAGTTGACTTGGGTTCTCTGTCGGGAAAGATGGGTAGCTGTGGCATCACGCGCTTGAAAAACGAGAGTCATGTTTCAGTAATTATTACAATATTATTTTATTTTTTTATAACATCTATTTTGTCAAAAAAAGAGGAGGAGTTTGGTGATTATTACCATTAGTACTATTTTTGTAAAATAAATTTAAGACCACTGTTATCTAAAACTATCTAATAATTTTTGTTAATCGAGGACGTATCCTTAAAAAAAAATTATAAGCACATCACTCCGCCAAAAAGAAACTAGTTTCCGTTTTCCTAATTTCTAGCACTTGGTAGAGTTGATTAAAAAATAAATAAAATGTAGATATACAATTGTAGAGTCCTTATCTCTTGCTCCCTATAAAGAAGAAAATTAATCTAAACTTTCTAAATAGACTATTAGATTAAATCTAACAGTCATTTTTCAAACCCACCTATAATTTTTCTTTTTAATACAAAATCACTCTCAGTCTATTTTTAGTTTCTATATTTAATTTTACAATTACCATATACGTTAACAATTAAAGATAATTACCAAAATAAAAATAGAAACTTTTGAAAAAAAAAAATAATTCAGGTATATTTTACTAAAAATTTGTTTTTATTTACATGTTTCTTTGAAATAAATATCTTTGCGGCACACTTCACCTCTATTTTTCACATTTATGTCAAACAAAGAACAATTACAAGACAGGCTAAGGTACTACACATTTTTTCTGTTTCGTATCCTTTATTTATTTTGTTTTGAAAAAGTAAATTTGTTTTCCCTTTAAATCTTTGAGTTCTGTGTTATTTTTTCAGTTTTCTCTTCTTTATTTATTTTGTTTTGAAAAAGTAAATTTGTTTTCCCTTTAAATCTTTAAGTTCTGTGTGGCTCCTTATTCTAATTACTATTGTTCAAGCTCATTTGCCCAGTTTTATAAATCACTAATTCAATACATAAAGTCAAAATCTTGTTGCATTAATTTTAATTGATTCAAATATAATTTTAATTCAGAGCGGCCTTTATTTTTCTTTGTTTTCCTAGTAAAATAAAAATAGGATGGTAATGGTAAAATAAAATATAGAAACTAAAAATGGGGTGAGAGTAGTTTTGTGTTAAAAAGAAAAATCATATGTGGGTTTAAAAAATAACCGTTAAATTAAATCTAAATATCTATATAGAAAGTGTGAATTAATTTTCTTACTCTATGAGGAGCAAGAGATCAGGACTTTACAATTGTAAATGCAATTTTTATTCAATTTAGGAAGGCGATATTCGTTAGGGATGACAACGGGGCGGAGTTAGAATGGAGTTGGCTAAACCCTACTCCGCCCCATTAAAAAATTCGTCATACCAACTCCGCCCCGCATATTCCGTTTAATTGCGGTAAAGTTAAAACTTTTGAATTAATTCCTGGACTTGGGATAGAATACTAAGATCTTGAATCACGTGCACAATTGTAAAATTTTAGTAAGTAGTGATTCTAACGAATATTTAGTCAAAATATATTAATGGACACTTAAATTAAATATATACTTTATATATATATATATATATAATTGGGGTTGGGGCGGGGGCGGGGGCATCACTAAATCTGCCCCCGCCCCCCCCCCCCCAAAAACCCGCTTCGGGTTTTCAATTCTTTTATCATATCCGTCCCAAACCCATTTATGGAGCTACCAAATCCACCCCATTAGGAGCGGAGCGGGGCGGAAACCCAGCGGGTTGGAGGAAATTGCCATCCCTAATATTCGTACTGCATTTTTCTATAATTACACTATATTTTTTAAAAGAAAGGATACTTATATCCCTAACTTTTTAAATAATTAATTATTTTTTCTCAAATACCACAATTACCTCTTCAGTTATAGAAATATATCTTTTTCACAATCTCTCCCCAATTTAACGTTTTGGATCATTTACAATATCTCTCAATTAAATTTCTACTTTGTATTAATTATCTGTTCTATTTTAGATGGGATTTAATATTAATCTTTATAAAGTAGTAATGGAAGATTAGCACATAAAGTTCAACACCATCATGCTACTGGTGATGGTAATTTTTTCTTTTATTTTTCTTTTCGCATTGTGTGTTTTGAGTTTAATTTCAATTTTTTTTCTTCATGTGATTTTTAAGAATTAATTTGTAATGTGTTTAAATTTTGAAAATTTTCTTATTGATGAGAAAACCCTAATTGTTTTAACAATAAATTTTCAAGAATAGGGATTTTAGGAAAAAGAGAGAGAGAGAGAGATGGGTATTATGTCAAAACCTGCATCCATATAATTCACCTACCAAATATTTTCTCCTTTTTTTTTTCCTTTGGGGTATAAATTATTTTTTTAAAAGATTAACAATATATAATATTAATTAAAGATGTACATAAATAAAATAAAAAAATCATTCATGGCAAAAGAGTTATTAAAGAAAAGTATTACGATACTGTATAGATGAATAACTAATATAGAAAGAAAAATGATGAATAATATGACGATGAAAGGGGATATCTGATATAGTAAGAAAATAGGTGAAGAAAATGATGATGAAAGGGTAATTTTATAGTTAGTGCATTTAATATGCTACGTAAGATTGTCATGTTAAACCATATTTTAGGAATAAGTAAAAAAGTAAAAAAAGAAAGCTTATAGTAAAAAGGGTAGTTATGGTATAATAAAATAAGGAATGATGCATTAATTAGCTTAGGGGTTTTTTTGTCATTCACATTTAAAAAGAAAGAAAAATGAAGTATAAACATAAAAAAGTAGAGTGCGAATATCTCCTCAATAAATTTATTGTAGCCTAATATTATGTTGGGAACTGATCAAGAAATTTAATCCACACACTTTTTTTTATTGACAATTAGATTAAATGTAACGGTCATTTTTCAAACTCACCTATGGCCTTTCCTTTTAAGACAAAACTACTCTCACCCTATTTTTAGTTTCTATATTTAATTTTACCATTACCATCTACTCTAACAATAAAATGGTAATTATGCAATTTAAAAATAGAAACCTTTTAAACAAACAAAAAAAAAATAGCAGTATATTTTACTAAAAATTTGTTTTATTTAGATATTTCTTTGAAAGAAAAATAATATCCGTATCTTTCAGTTTTGCAACAAAAGTATGAAATTATAGCCTTTTGTTAAGAAACATCTTCTTGTTCTCAGTATAAGTAAATTAATACATTTTTCTAGTATAAGTAAATTTATCAACAAATATACTGTAATGTTGCATTTTGGAATATAAATTGATTCATTGGAATTGAAATTGAAGAAAATTTTATTTAAAGTTTGAACAAAAGTTCTTTCTATTCAATTTTAAGTTGGACATTTGGTAAAATTCATTACTGAATCTGTGAATTTGTGAGTTTGATTATTGAGTGATGATGATGTACTGACTATGGAGGGACTGTAAAATTCACCTCAGAAACAAAAAGGTAATCCCAAAAAAAATGAGTTAAGCTTTTCTTACAACCTTATTCATCGAGAATAATCATTTGTTTACACTTTTGTCCAAGAATTCAAATTCAATCACGCATGAAGAAATAAAGAGAGAGTTGAATCGAGCCATCAATCAACCCAGATCACCCGATATAAACCTCCCACTGTCAGTTGAGCCTAGCCCACCTCCTCCGCTGTGGAATGTAATTGTGATATCTTAGATGTTAGCCTTGGGTCTCAGTATTTTAAGGCCTACAAATGTTAATGTCACAAAAAATTGGAAGAAGTGTGCTAATAGGCTTGATAGTCTCTCGGGTGCCTGGTTTTTCTTGAGTTTTTATTTTAAATCAGCTTTGAATGAGAAATCAAAGAGTAAGGCCGCTTGGGAGAGTAATGGGGTTGGTGGGTATAATAAATCAAAGGTTTCTATATTTAAATTGCATAATTATCTTTTATTGTCAGAGTAAGTGGTAACGGTAAAATTAAATATATAAACTAAAAATAGGGTAAGAGTAATTTTGTGTTAAAAAGAAAGGTCATAAGTGGATTTAAAAAATATCTATATAAAAAGTGTGGATTAAATTTCTTACATTATAGGGAACAAGAGATCAGGTGGGAACATTCAATTTGCACACCAAGCACAATGCAAAAAGGAACAAGCATAGAAAGCACGGTATATTTCGGGCATAGCAATTTTATTTTCTATTTTAAAAAGTGTATAAAAAACATTCTTAATCTTTTCACATTATGCAAAAATATTCCTTAATCAGAAATTTGACATAAATTAGTATTGTAACACTCGTTTTACTCTTTTATATGTTACTAATCTCATAGTACAGGGGATGTTATGTGCATATTACCAGTTTTTTATTTTTTATTTTTTAATAAAAAATTCTTTATATATATCTCTAAAATAAAATTTTGAAACTTTGAGAATTTTTGAACAAATATTTGAATTTTTTAAGATTTCAGTTTATGTTTTCTACTATTTTTTTTTCTTTATTTTATTTCTTTTTCGTACCAACAAGGTTAAAAAAAAAAAAAAAAAAAAAAAAAGGAATCCTAATATAATAAGTGTGCACTGGTCTCAGAGTTTGGAGCATATTTATTTTTTTTTATTTTCATTTTTTATTTTTTATTTTTATCTTTACTTTTCTTTTATACTTTTATTTATTTATTTATATTTTTATCTTTATTTATTCATTGTCGGTGTCCTCCAATAATGTCTTTTTCGGTTACTTTACAAATTTATTTATTTTTTATATATTTTATAAAATAGTTAAGTAAGAGTAATTTAGTTAACTTATAATTTAAATTTGTCAGAAAAATCTATTTACATTAAATTAAAACTTTAGGGGTGTTTTTTTTGTACGTGAGGAGTGTCCTCCAATGGTGTTTTTTTTAATCATTTTACAAAATTATTTATTTCTATGTATTTTATAAAATGGTTCAATAATGGTAATTTAGTCAACTTAGGTTTAAATTTGTC